ATGTAACGCTCTCTCTCTCTCTCTCTCTCTCTCTCTCTCTCTCTCTCTCTCTCTCTCTCTCTCTCTCTCTCTCTCTTTCTCTCTCTCTCTTTCGTTGCAGCGCATCGCGGATATAAGCTCCACATTCGAAAAGTAAGTCAAGTCGTCGGGATGGCGAAAAAAAGAAGTACGCAATTGAAAAAAAAATCAAGAAAGAGAGAGAAAAAAAATCCGTGCTCCGTAACGTGCCCTGCGCTGCTGCATAACACACGCACGAACGAGGAAAAAAAAAGAAGTTTGCGCATAGCTCATCGTCTTGTATATTATACGACGACGTACATATGCGAGCTCTCGAGTGTGTGTATATACGTATATTATATACAGCTGCACATACACAGACAACATACGTAAGCATCGGCAGCAGCAGCAGCAGCAGACGCAGACATGTACATAGAAGAGGAGTCGTCGTCGTCGTCGTAGTCGTCGTCGTGATCCAAGCGCTTAGGGAGAAGCGATAACGAGAAGAGACAGATATGCCGGAGAACGAGCATACATGGTATATATAATATAACACACGCACACACGTCTCCGTATACACATGCTCGCGCGTAGCTGTTCGATTTCTATGTATAATAATGATAATAATAAAATATACATGACACGCAGACATACACACTCCCACACAAATGCTATTTTGCTATTATATATGTGTGTATTATGCATGGGTGTGTGTGCGCGCGTGCAGTGCAGATGCAAATCCGCAGCTCTCTCTCTCTCTCTCTCCTCGAGCGTCAAACTCGAAAAGCGAGCGTATTCATTGGATTGTTAATCCGGAAAAAGAGGCGCATTGCTCGCTCGCAGAACTATATAACAGAGTCGTATACGAGTTCGTTCAATGCATGGCACACATGTATACGCATCGGGTATGCGCGTAAGTGTGCGTGTGTGTGTGCGTGTCTGCGTGTATGCACGTGCCCTTACATTACGCGCGAGGACGTCCAGTCGTTTCATCGTTTGCGCGGCTTTTGAAGACAATTTGCTTAATACTGCGATGTGTGATATTTATTAGAGTTAGGTCGTCGAGATCGTCACTATCTCACACTGTAAGTCGATGGTTTTCGGCCGCGTGTACAAACTGTTTTGTTATTATTATATTGTGTTGTACAAAGTAGTAAAAACAAGCTCGATATGCACTATGTACTCCGCGTGGCCATGTACGCAGCGGTTACGGTTTCTTTTGAAATAAAAATACCGTATCGTTTCTCTCTCTCTCTCTTTCGCTCGAACGAGATAATAGCAGTAATATCCGAGTTATCTAATAAGTACTGGCGCGTATTAAGCTCGTAAAGTACGCGGTGAGAGTATCAGTGTGCGTGTGTCCGTGTGTGTGCGCGCGTGCAATACGGAGCCAAGGCATTCAGCCACACATCAGATGTCGTTGGTGTCGTCGTCGTCGCCGTTGTCGTGTGCGTCGAAGGGGGCTCGCACACAGTCCGAAAAGCGCGTGAGAAGTAGGGGAAGTTGCACGAGCTAACGCTCTCTCTCTCGCTCCGTATTATATAGAGGAGTATATACCTGCTTGCTGGTGTGCCGAGCGAAGCTTTTCAAATCAACCCCCGTTCGGCAGCCACCGCGCTCTCTCTCTCTCTCTTTCTGTTTAATACGTATAGAACGTGTACGTGTGTGTACGTGTGACTACGCTGTGCCGTGGTGTGTACTGCTGCTGCTGCACGGCCTCCCCGCCGTCGAGCGAGCGGGCAAATTCGCTCGCGCGCGCGCGCATCTACATGCTATATACGACGACGGCGACGGCGACGTATACTCGGCTCGATCACTAGCCGCGCACTTGTGTGCGCGAAGAGACATTCAGTTTCGTTTTTACGGTCGCCCGGCTTGGGTCGCGCAGGCCGCAGCGAAGCCGGGATCGCGATTAGTTCTGCCTCGTACCGAATTGAGTCCGAACGCGCGTCTCCCGGACTCGTGACTTTGTTTCGTTACTCTCGCTGTACAAGGAATACCATTCGTGTAGTTACAGTCTCCGTCGTGTTGGTTCTTTTGTTTTCGCGCTCGCAGTGCTGATGATCGGCTCGATTTTGTTTTCGAATTTCATTACTTTCGGCTTCTCGCTCCTCGATGGTCTATGGGAAAACGTGTGCAGTGCTTACAGTGCGCGTGTGTCTCGCTCTATACGAAGGTGTGTTCGTGTGTGCGTGTGTGCGTGCGCCAAAAGCTCTCCCGACGATGCGCTCACCACGTGATTCGCCGATTATCTCCTACTCGACTCTTCCTTTTTATATTTCTGCAAAAATCAAGTCTTTTTTTGGCACTCGCTCATTCAATTTTTCTCATTGCGCGAGTGATCGTAGCAGCACCGTGGAAAAGGTGCCTGTGCCGAGACTCGACTCGACTCGACTGATTCCGCAAGTCTCTCGTAAGCCGAGCGACGATCGAGGGATGCAGGATGTGCGTGCATGCCGTCGTGTTCGTCCACCGCACACGCACTACTCGGGGCAGATATGTATTACGCACTACAGTACATACTCCGCAGATCGAGAGCCACGGACTGAGTAAACATGGCGGCCGGCGCGTACTATATAAGCTGACTTATATACCCGCTGCAATTGTTAATCTGTGCGCGTATACATACATCTATACCTATATAATGTGCGATACATGCGTAAGTCCCCTGCGTGCTTAAGTTTGTTCTCGTGTGCCGTGTGTGCGTGTCTGTACTTCTGCGCCTATTGAACGGCTCGATATAACGCGTGAGTTTAAAAATAACATACAATATAAGCATCGGCAGCAGAGAGACAGAGAGAGAATTCACAGCCCTTCGTACTTTGGAGGATCCGGCTGCTGCTGCTGCTACTGCTACTGCCGCTGTGTGTTTGCCGTATGTATATCCCACGAATTCAGAGCCGCATGCTCTTCGCACATATTAGCGGCTGTTGTGTGCACAAGTTTTCTGGAAAAGACTCGCTCGGCATTTTACAGGCTGTTAGAGGGGTATTTTTTTTGTCATCCAAATCTGAACTTTTAGCGAAAGAAAAGAAAACGTGTACTGGACTGTACTCGGATGAGCAAAAGTTATATGCTCGGCGAGACACGTTGGGAGAATAGCCGATCCACGCTTCGATCGTGGAAAGTTTTGATTGTATTAACAAATCGAATAAGTTGATGTCAGTCTATTCAAAAATGCACAAGAATTATTGCCATCGATCCAATTTTGTACATTTTACGTCTTCCAAAGTCTTACTCAGCTTCAATTTATCATTTCTCTGAAAGCACTGACATTTACTGATCTGAATTAGTTTAGAAATTTATTTTTCAATGCGAATAAATCTACAGCATCTCATCTCGACAATGACCAACTATTTTATCTATGCAACGAATATACTTTCATTGTATTATATTTTAATGAGAAATGAGAAATAAAAACAGCAAAAGAGTTGTATATGTTAATGGAGAAATACGATTTCACTGGATGCGCACAACCTAATTGAAAATTGTAAAAAGTAACTGTATCTAATAAGCTCTTTAATTGTTATAACATCTCTTTTCATTCCACAATTAATTCGGCTGTACAATGAAAAATATTTAATGTATTTTTGCTTCGATACATCTACCTCGTGTAAACACGATGAATTCCTCAATGAGTTGTTCTACTAAGCCGCTTAAAAAAGCCGATATTTTTTCTAAGAAAAAGAAATTCGACCTACCGTCTCGGGTTCGATTCAAAACGACTATATATACTAAAATCATGCGCCGACAATGCATCATTGTTTGTAAACACTGCTAATACTGGCGGTCGCGTACAATTCATTTGCCTTGTGATTTTTTCATTTAACAATAAATTGTGTAAAGGCTATTGTTGCATAGTAGCCTCTTTTGTGTTTAAATGGTTTTTTTCTACGAGAATATTGCTTGTTACGCAATCGATATATATATATATTAGAGTAGTGAATGAGTACATCATTTGTAAAGGTACACAAATTTGAAAAAAAATCACTCTACTTTGATAAAATTATTGTAAAAATAATGTATCTAGTCTTCGAAAGTAGATTTTTATATGAAAATTTCAAATCACGTTTTTTCTACGGATAAATATCGATTGTCAACTGATAAAATAATGTTGCATATAATTCAAACTAGAAGTACTTGTATTTATAGTCTCAAAATTCATAAAATTTATACCTTTTTTTTCAATTCATTAACTCGGTAATCTCATTCACTTTATTATAATTAGTGATATTCCAACGTAGAAATGTAATGTAGTAAGTTCTAATTAGTGTATGTCAAAATGGATGTTTTCTTATCATATTATCATTATCTTTAAATAGAAATGATGCATTCATTATTATTTGCAACCTGTGTTTTTTTTTAATCGATGTATTATTTCTTACTTCGATGAAACTTTGAAAATGTGAGGTCGGGATAATTCATTGCAGGAAGGATTATAGTGCAAAGAATTCAAAATATCAGAAGTGTCTATAAAAGTGCCTAAAGCCCCTTATCATTCTCTCGTCGAGTGTGAAATTTTCAACAACTGGACGGAGAACTGATAAGGGCCCGAGGGTTACAGATCAACGAGAATTTGTAAAACGGACTACTGGGCGACGACAGAAAAAAGAATGAGAAAAAGCTTCGTTAATATGTAACAAAAATCTAATTGTATAAATATTCATATTTTTACATGCATAAAATTTTAATTATTCTCATATAATAAATATTTATAATATATGTGAATAAAATTGTATTTTTTATCATTCCTAACAATTATTTTAATGAAGCCAAAGTAAATGAATAAATATCAGTAAATTTTTGTTTTTGATTCTTTATAAATAGTTTAATAATTTAAACTATATATGTACAAAATATGTACAAAAAATGTAAAAAACCAGTCTTTGATATTCTTATTTCAAAATTATCACACGAAACGTCGATAGTTATTCGATATCAAATATAAATATCAACATTTTCTTTTCGTAAGAGGCGAGTCTTAAAAACTAATAAATTATATTTTTATATACATTCACAGAGATTTCGTTTCTTATTTTATAACAAAATACGCTATTTTAAAGTAAAATTAGAGTTTTCCAAATCCTTGAAAATCACGGTATTTCCTTGTTGTAGAAAATTATATCTTTCGCTATAATTACCACTATAACTAATTTCATTTTTTAATATCAAGGATCCGAAGCTTTAAAAACGTCGCTCGCACTAACATTTTGCGAAGCATTTTTTTGTACTAGAGCAATTTTTTGATTGCCTGCCGTGAGAAATCCTACTATTTTATTGCCACTGTCAGGAACTGTCGCGATAGGTGCTACTAATTGAACATTCGGTATTGACGCGGATCCACTTGCTCCGTGAAGAGTAATAGTATTATCATTTGATTTTATTTTCGGCAATATGACCGGCACTTTTGTTGCAGTCAACGGTTTTTTCGTAGTCGAATCCATTGCTTCTGTGGTGGGCCGCTTCACAGGTGAGGAAGATAATACCACGATCGGCGTTTCTTTTATTTGATTAGTCGTCTGTACAGGCACAATGATTGGATTGACTATTTTTTCTGTAAAACAATAAAATTAACGATCAATGTCAATCCCTGAATGTGGATGGATTTTTCTATTATTAAAAAATAAAATTATACCTTGTTCAACAATGTTCAATGGACAGTCTTTATGAGCTAATAGCAATGACTTCAATTTTTCTACTTGATTTTGCAAACTTTTCACCTGTGCTTGTAAAGAGGCATTCACTTCATTCGATTTTTTCAATGAGCTTTGTAATTGTTCGATCCATGCTTTTCTTTTTGCACGAGCTCGCATTGAGCTGGCTCGATTTCTTTCTAAAATAGCTTGTTTTTTAACGTCAACTGTACGTTTTTCTTTTTTACGCTGAACTAAAACTACATTTGACTTGGGGGTAATAATTTCATTCTTTTTAATATTCGAAACAGCACCATTTCTGACTAGGGTTTCTTTTAATTTCTGAAAAAATTATTTTTTTAAAATTCAGAAATAATAATCTTTAAATAACAAATTCAAAACTTTTTTTACCTTTTTAGCGATGGATAATTTTTCGACATCATTTTTTTCGCTGATTTTTTTTAAATTATCCGCTTTTGAAATTGTATCACTAACAGAGTTTACAACTGTATTTTGTGAAGTTTCTGCTACTTCAACAACTGGGGGTGTTATTACTTTCAATACTGTACCATCTGAGGTTGTTATTATGATTTGCATTTCGGAATTATCAACCGGTCGACTGCGAGAATGAACACAATTAAATTAACAAATTCAATTTGAATCGAAATTGATATTGAAACTTACAAGGTTGTATTCGTCGATGGTAACGAAGTATCACATGTTTTTGAAATAAGTGTGTTTGAAGAGACAAGCTCATTCGATGAAGGGCCGATATTTTCAAAATTGTCAATTTTAGATTCTACTTTATTTTCGGTAGACACAGTCTCATCGTTTGGAATTATCTCAACGTTCGTAAAGGTTCGTTTTGTGACTTTCGCAGAAGGTGGTGGAATCACAGGTGTATTGAGACTTTCTGAAAAATCTACCTGGAAAAATATTTTATTATTATGATAAATATGCTTTTTAATGCTTATTTTGCGCTTTTTACCTTCGGTTGTGTTATAATTTCATTTTTTCCAGTTTCCACAGCTCTTCGAAATGTCTCATCAAATGGATTTTCATGCTGCAAATCTTGAAAAAGTCCAACCTCCTCGCAATTACGAATAAATCTGGTTGGTGTTGGAGTTTGATCGACTGTAAAAATAAATGATTTTTCGTGTTGCTTATAACTACAATATTAGAAGTATAGTATCCGAGTAAAAATCAAATTTTTCAATTTTAAAAATAGCTAAAAAATATAATATTATAATGATTACAATTTTCGTAATATTTATTATGTATACGGGGTTTGAAAATGTCTTTGGCTAGTTCCAATCAACAAAAATCAATTTTTTTTTTGAAAAATGTAATTGAAAAAAACGTAGCAATTACCTTTGAGGACAGAAAAAATTTTAAAAATTTCATTCTAAGCCTTTCTGAATATCAAAATATTGCTTTAGGTCGGTAAGCATAGATTTCTTTCGTATTACTGGTATTTATGCACTTCACAGAAAAGCATCTTGCCTATTTCACGTTTGTAATTCTTTGATAAATAAAGTTAGAATTTGAAAGACCGTTAAAATAAAGAGAAAATCTATTTTTTAATTTATCAAATCGTAATTAGCAATAAAAAGTAAATAAAAAAATGAAAATAAACAATAACACTCGAAAGGATAATTTGAAATTATACAGCGTTATATTTATTATTTTGAAAGGTATAAGGTGGTTTCATGAATCCGTATTTTCAATTTTCAATCTTTCTTACCTATAAATGCATCATTTTTACAGCTATTGTCGAGATTCAACATCATATCGTGCTTCTTTTGATGAACCGCTAAATGGTCTTCACTGACGAAACGCTAAAAGATTGTAAAAAATAATCAAAAGAAGGATACAAGGTTATGGCATTGTAATATTTCAGAAACGATATTTGTATTTACCATTGAACAAGCTGTACAAGCAAACGGTTTTGTAAATTCATCCATTCTTATGTGCGATATTTCAAATGGTGGCGATAAAAAGCCAATTCACGGGAATGGAGCAAACTGATCAACGTAAATAATCACTTGTGATGATCTAATAGAAAGAAGAAGTGTGACTGACAGCCAGCTCGGCGAATATTTGCGTTGCGCAGATCGCAGCAGTTTTGCGTTTACGTGCAAATCTACAATATCCCTGCAAGTCGAACCCAGTCGGAAAGCGCGAAATACAAAAGGCGATCGAAGCTTTACAAAACTAAATGAATCTGTTAAATATTTCAAAGTTAAATAATTTACTTAATAAAAAGTACTTTTTCTATTCAAACATTTTTCACTTGGTGAAAGTAAATTTCAGTTAGTTTACTCACAAAACTGTTGCCAACACAATCGTTAGAAACATTTATAAAAATTTACAAGAGACGTGCCTATTTTCAATGTCATACAATTAACTTTAAATAATAGCCAAACAGTAACAAACACGAATTATTATAATTATTATTTTTTACGTTTCTCTCTTGTAATGTCGTGCCACTGGTGGTCGCAGTATCGAAGCTTGGCTAGCACATCGGACGTTGGTAAAGTAAATAGCTCTCGTACTGAAATCTTTTCATACGATTTTTTTAAGCAAGCTAAACCAACACCTGATGAATGGTCGCCAACATATGCTTTACTGAATACACCGGCTTTTTGGTCAGTAAATCTTATTTTTATTATTATTTGGTAAAAAGATGTTTTGTTCATTGTCTTAATTTTTTAGCCACATCACTATCACGAATATTTTCGTTATAAAAAAGTTAAGAGAGGAGATTTTGAAAATTTAACAATCTCTAAATTTCACGCCTTGCTCGACAGCAGACTGCAAAGTTGTTTTGACAGCATGAGGTTAGATTGTCTTGATACAGTAATAACATGTAAGTAAAGTGTAGTAGCAGCAAAATAAATATAATTATTCTATTCTTACTATACATATTATAAAGATCATTCTCATTGATGTGAATTTAGAAATAATTATGCTTGATCTTATGTTTCAGTGGAAAAGCAGCATTTTATTGACAGCATTTTAATTTTAATAAATACGTGTAATCATCGTAATTGATGACTCAATTCATCAGTTTTATGCTATATCTCTGCCCAGTTGGCTTTGATAAAATAAGCAAGTTTTTCGACATGTTAACAATCTAATAAACGTTAATTATTTTTATCGTTTTAAAATAAATACAAAATGGGACTGGAATAACTTAATTAGGTACAACAGCAATTCCTCTCTTCCGTTTTAAAAACAATTTTCTATATACATGGATTGCAGTATAATAAACAAAACTTAAGAGTGATATGATTTTACAGTAATATACATGGTTTTAATGATAGGTTATTGCTTACAAGTATTTATGAAATTAATTTGTTGACATTTAAAAGTTTTCTGCACCATATAGTAGGAGAATTCATGATCAATCTATTTGGTTGATTTAGTTTTGATTTATATAGTAATGTAAATTTATTAAAATCTGAAAAAATAAATCGACAAAATGGCAGAGAGCAATAAAAATATTAAAAAATCGTCTCAAAAAATGGTGCACGAAATACGATGTCGTTTATTTAGTGATCTTACGAAGGAAGTCGTTAGTGAAGATATCTATAGTACTCTTAAAAATAATGAGCATGCGCAGGATCTTAATTGGATATTGATAGAAGCTGTGAAACAAGAAAAGTATGATATATTGGAAAAAATAGTTTCAGCTGGAATAAAACTGACAAGTTATCCCAATTTATACATCGAAACGGCCATTCATTATGTTATATGCTTTCGGCATATAAAATATCGTGAAAAATGTACAAGTGGTCTTAATACTCCTAATTTTGATGCTGTTAACTTACTCTTTCAAATCTATGGTGAGGCTAATTTTCAAAATCAATTGGGATTTACGCACTTCCAAGCCGCTTGCTTGTGTGGCAACGTTGAGATGGTTCAGAAATTTATTGAGCAAGGTGTAGATGTCAATCTCGTTTATGCAAAATTTTGGGCCAAATATCCTTTATTCATGGCTATTTGTAGCAAGAATGAAAAAGTTGTTGAAATGCTCTTAAAACACGGTGCCAATCCGAATGCATCTGACAATTTGGGTAGCACATGTTTGAACAGAGCAATTATTCACGGGGACGTAAAAATAGTTGAGATTCTTTTGAAGAACGGAGCCGATCCGAACATACTTGATGAAAATGGCAGAGCATCTTTGCATGAAGCTAGTCAAGGTAGAAGTGCAGAAATCTTTGAAATGATGTTGAAAGAGAGAGCAAATCCAAATATATTCGACGAGTCAGGCAAAACTCCTCTACATTACCTGTTGTCACATGATTCATTTACTCCAGAAGTCTTAAAAAGAGTTGAAATACTTTTGGAAAATGGCGCTGATGCGAACATTTTTTGGAAGAATAGGATGTCGTCATTGGAGAATTGGCATTTCAATTTCGATTCAACTTTAGTAAAAATTTTAATTTTACTTTTTAAACACGGTGCCACTTTGGACAGAAGCGAAGAATATTATCTATCTTATATAATTGATTGGACAGAAAATGAGAAATGTCTTGAATTATTAGAATTATTTCTCCAGAAAGGTGCGAATCCAAATGCTCGAGACTTGATGATAGGTGATACATTACTTAATCGTGCTATATCAAGGTATCGCTATGGACCCATCAGAGTACTTTTAGATTATGGTGCCGATCCTAACATCGTTGATATAAACGGTAAGACTCCTTTATTCAGAGCTGTTGAAAATGGAAATTTTCAATTAGTTCGCTTACTTACAGTCAAGGGTGCCGATCCAAACAAATTTAGTGGAATTTGTGAAACACCTTTGCATAAAGCTATTGTCTTAGAACACTTGGAGTGTGTTGCGTTACTTTTACTCGATGGTGCTGATCAGAACGTTCAAAGATATGATGGAAAATCATCTTTGGAAATAGCTCTTGATAACTACAATGTGGAAATCATCGTAGTACTACTAGAATTCCTGTTAGAAAGTATAGTTGATAATCGTTCTGAAACTTTTAAAATAATCTTAAAAAAAGTAATTGGTTCAAACTTAACTTGCAGTCGTGATAAATTATTATTGCACTTCGTTGTAAGGAGACAAAAAGAAAAAATAATGAGAACACTTCTTGAATGCGGTGCTGACCCAAACGCAATCGATGATGATGGCAAAACTGCTTTGCATTATGCTGTCTATCAATCTGACGAAGAAATTATTGAAGTACTAGTAAAATATTGTAATCCAAATATACTTGACATAGACGGCTATGCCCCTCTCCACCTGGCGGTTGATCAAGGTCACGTAGAAGCAATTGAAGCATTTTTGAAGAGCGGAGTTAATCCAGATGTTCTTGATGGAAATGGCAGAACTTGTTTGCATACAATCTGTGAGAATGGATTGTATTCCAGTACTTACGATGATTATTATAAGGATCTATTGGAATTGATCCAACTTTTTGTCAAATATAACTGCAATGTCAACGTGAAAGATAAAAAGGGTAACACGCCACTGTTCACATTATTCAGTACTTACGATGTGATGGAATATAATACAGAAATGCGAGGATATCAAAGAGATGCAATACAAATTTTGTTGAAACATGCAAATATTTCGGAAGTCAACTTTAATCGACAATCAATATTACATTTGGTAATTGATTCTTGCTTATGTGTACCTCTTAGTGATGCTTCGGTGGATGTCAAAGATGAAATTGGTATTGAAATGGTTGAAATTCTTTTAAAAAGTGGAGCCAACGTAGATGCTGAAGATATATGGGGCCAGTCGCCATTATTCATTGCTGTAACTCATTTAAATTACGATGTGGTTAAATTACTCCTGAAGTATGGCGTGAGCGTGTCGAATATTCGCTTGAATAAGGAAGACTTTAAAGATGTTAAAAAATTACTACCGCGAGCAGAGATCTCACTGTATTTTTTGAAAATTATGGACATTTTCGAAAAAGAAGGCTATAAAAATAATCTACATAATGTGGAAATGGTTAGATATTTGATTCAGTAGACTTGTTAAACTCGTAGTTCTTTAAACTATGAACCCATGTTTTTTAAATGTTTTTTAAAGATGTATCAATAAATTATATACAATTAAACATACAAAAACTGTTGTAATGAGTATACACACTCAATAACGCCTTACCTAATGCCTCACAATCGTTGCAGTTTAATACCCGAGAATAGAATAAGCTCTACAAGGTAGTAGTAATTTTTCATGTTTGACTTGTTGACTGACCTTTGTAACATTTTTCCTATATTTATAACAATTCTTCTGTAGGGGGTTAAAAAAATAAACCGAAACGTTAGTTAAAATAAATATGACATTTTAAACATCTCACTTATGTATTTTCGAAACTACACCTTGATTGTATTTTGTGACCTTATGCTGGACTCCAAACATTATCGACGTCGGTTCACCAAACCTGTATTGACCATTCATCACCAAAGATTCTATTTAACGAGTTCTCGGGTTTCATTTAGCACGATAAATAACTCTCCTATACCACAATAGGCAGTTCATCGAGGCTCTGCCAATTGCACTTCATGTCGTTACTTGTTACTAGTTACAGCACTCGCCTTCGGCTCGTGCTATAATCCCTCGTTTTGCTAAAAAACCATATGTGTACCCGTTGAGAAATATACTATTTAAAAATCTTTTACTAACACACTTATAATATTTAATTTAACTTCAAAAAAATTGTAATTATAATATTTAACTCCAATCTAGCACGTGTTACTACTATATAGACTACTAGGGGGGCTGCGCCCCCCTGCTCGCTCCGCTCGCCAACCCCCCCGTTAGGGAGATATACATTTTATTTTTTAATGAGGAAAAGGGTTTGTCTTTAATAATTTTATAGTTTAAGGATTTCTGCTCTTAATATTTTTAGTCCACATTTACCACAAAAATGGACATTTAACCCAAAATCTACCAAAAAAATATTTTTAAAAGGCCATATTTAGATGTTGGTATTGTGATAGTTTTGTCTTATGTATATGGGTCATATCATAAAAGAATTGATAGCTCAAAAAATCGAATTTCAACTTACTATGTACTCTTAAAGATTACATTGAAAAATGAAAATCCAAAAAATCTTAGCTCTCTAGCTCCATCCTATAGGGGCTCAAAGCTGGATATTCAAACATTAAATTTAATTCTACTTTTCTGGGGTGATTTTGAAAAAATGGTTGAAACATGTTTTTATGTGTAAAATTTGATGAGGAATTCAAATTTGTACTCAAAAATCATATTCATAGCCTAAAAACCCTTCAAAATGGAAAAATAACATAAAAGACTAAAAATAATGTTGTTCGTCTCCAGCGAATAGGCCAGAATTGTAATATGTTCATCGGAAGGCCAAAATACAATTTTAGGTAAATTTTGGTAATCGGTTGAGCATTAGAGACAATCCCATGGCATTCGATAGAACAAAAAGCATGGTTTTTCTCTTATTTTTCATGTTTTTTACCCTTTTGAATGGTTAATTTTACACAAAAAAAACATGATTCAACCATTTTTTCAAAATCACCCCAGAAAAATAGAATTAAATTTAAAATTTGAATATCCAACTTTGAGCCCCTATAAATTCATGAGGGATGGAGCTAGAGGGCTAAGATTTTTAGGATTTTTATTTTTCAAGTAATCTTTAAGAGTATATAGTTATGTCAATACAAATAAAACAGCGAAGGCGGTACCAAAGTCAAATTTATTAAAACAGGCGGTGGGCGAGAGTGTGTAATCACACACTGTCTCTTCACCTAGTCAACGTTTCGCCGACCACTTTGTCGGCCTCTTCAGGACTGATGTGTACTTGACTACCGATATTACATATACACTGACAGACCTTTCTAGCCCCGGTGCCGTGAAACGACACGGCGCGGATACTACACGAATTCAGGCACGGGCTACTACAGTAACACACCTATGCGCCGTGAGTCAAGCGCGCAGACCGTTGATCTCACAGACGGGCTGCCTGACTGTACTCTTGTAGCCTCGCAGTGAATACTCACGGACTATACCCGTGAAATTAAAAGGCCATCGCTACTGCTGCCGCGCTAAGACATTGTATACAAACGCGATACGCTAAACGTAGACCGTTACATGTCTTCATAGCACATAGCCCACAGTGGTGATCGTAATTTAAGTTGAGTTGAATTGTTGAAATAATATAGTTTTTTGATTAATGTATCAGGTGATAATATGGAAAGTTTTTTTTCCAACAAGGAGACCACATGAGATGCGGGTCACCAAATGACCTGAAAATTTTTTTCTGGTCTCCTGGTATCTAATAATGAAACCCCCTATGCTTAGTTTGATCCAATGGGCCTTGGGCCCATTTTAAAAATCATTTTCTAGTTTATTGAAAAACCTTTGTGCTTTTCTAACTAGTAATAGGACATATTAAACGGAAAATTGCACAATGTACAAATCTTAGAATTAGTCAAAGAATACATTTGAATTTTTTCAGAATTTTCGAGACCTCCTATCACCTATTTTCAAAGGTTCAAATTTAACGCGTTTTTACTTTTTTCTTAAGAATTACAGAGACCTTTGAAAATAAGTGATAGTAGGTTTCAGAAATTCTGAAAAAATTCAAATGTATTGTTTGACTAATTTTGAGACTTGTACATTTTGCAATTTTTCGTTTAAGATGTCCTGTTACGAGTTAGCGATGAATTACAAAAATCAGGCATGTTTTTTGATCAATTCTAAACACTTTTTATTCTACAACTTTTTCTCGTAAAGTTGATGGTTATCGAGTTAAAAATTGTCGAAATCATTTCATGACATACAGGTCTTCGGGAGTTATATTTATGATCGCCATATTGAATCTCATAATTATAACTATTTTACAATAAAGTATACATGCCATTGTCCAAATCTATACGCTTGAGACGCACGAGCGAACCTTCTTTTCGTGTTGAAATTTGAGTTAAACGAAATTTTTTTTCTCGAAATTTCATATTTTTTTTTTTACAAAATTGTTTATAACTTTTTATTAAATAAATTTTTGAAAATTCTGACCCCAGATTTGAAAAGTACATTAAATTTTACGTAAGTTATTATATCTGAAAGGTTTTTTAAACAATTTTTAGTTGGTGTAATTCATCGCTATAAATGTTGTCCAAAAATGGTCATTTCAGACGTTAAAGGGTTAAACAATTACTTTTACAACTAATAAGATACATTTCCATTATCAGTAGCACTATGTAATGAGAATCCTACAAAAAATTCTGTTATTTATTCTTCTCGTACAATTTTGTTAATTGGCCGCTCGCCTTTTATACACAAAATCTCGCTGAACGCACCTCATAACGTAGCTATGATTTTTCACGGATATACTCCGTGAGTCACTCACGGAGCGGTTCCTAAGCGATTCTCGTAGCCAATACGTGAAAGTGAGGGGGATCGTTCGTGAATTTGTGTGGTATCCGCGCCGTGTCGTTTCACGGCACCGGGGCTAGAAAGGTCTGTCAGTGTAGGCAGTAACCGCGATGTCAATAACAATAATAATAATAAGCAACCGATGGTAAACAATATAAAACTAAGGCTTCGAGTGTGTATAAAATCGTTAGAATTACTTAATATATTTCAAAATGTTAAAATAAGATTGTTTAAATCTTTAAGGTCTTCTTTTTTATTAAGTGTGTTGTGCGTGTCATTGATAAAAATCATTTACGATATGGTTCAACGTTGGTAGTTCGGCTCTTGGTCTAAAATTTTTACATTTGCCCAATCCATGTTGTGTCCTTCTTTTTTGGCGATATGCGCTGCGACTGCCGATTTCTCACTGTCTGCGTTCTTGTATTTGTTCATGCGGATTTTTAGCTTCCTTTTTGTTTGGCCCACGTAGCTTTTGGTGCAGTTCATGCATTTCAAATGGTATACCACTACAAGTACAAAAAGAGGTGTATTTTGACGTATGTCAATGAAATAAAATTGAAGGTTTTTGTCGGATCACGCGGAGCGGGGGAGGAAGGGGGGAGTCGGGGTGAAGGTCCAGGGCGGNGGGGGGGGTGCAGGGGGCGAAGCCCTCTCACCTAAACATTATTCTGTCTTGGTCCAAATAAAACTACCAACCTTGTCCTTATTCTGCTTCAAGTTGAATATTTTCTTGAGCTTGCGGCTCAGCTGTACCCCCTCGACCACGTCTTCCAACTTGAATGCGACCTTGGACCATGATGTCGTGTTCTTCGAGTCCATCAGTTTGAGAGGCCAGTACCGGACATTTTCCTTCACGAACTTGACGACGGAGCATTGCCCTTGAAGGAAAATGCTGGTCAAGATTTTGGTCATCATGAGCGTGGACTTTGTGACGCTGTCACTGACCGGAAAGAAAGTGTGATATTGTAGCTGTAGCTCCCCCCATCATCGAATGAAATGCACAAGTTAATTAGTAGAAAAGCTCAACAAACCTCATTCCAAAAGATGCACTTGATTACCCTTCTCTTCTTGGCGAAGTACTCACACGGATTGATATCGGTGAGTCGCGGGTACTCATCGGTGCTCTTGAAGTGCACGTAGGCCGCCAACCTTCGCATCAGCTCGTGAACACGATATTCCTTGTCGTATTGAACGCCCGTGTCTCGGATGATATTTCCGGTGTATGGACGGTCTTCTGGAACCCATCCCGCAATACTAAAAAAAAGAGAGAAAAGTTATTAGGTACAACTTATAATTATAATTGATGTATATGTTGGTACAATGTCCTTACATGGTTCCGTTCTTGACCGGTTTTAATTTCTGCAGAGCGTAGAAAATAAATTGGAGCATTTCTGGCCCAGTGTTGCCAATAAATATAAATCTACTTGAACGCTCTTTGAAGAAGTTTTTGGGGAACTCGGTGGTTGGCTTATTGACTGTACTTGTCCGCCTCGGAGTCAAGCTCAGTCACAAACTTGCCGTCGTATCTGCCCTTCGACCCGGAGATGAACGCCACCACCAGCATCTCACACGAGTACGCCACCGGGAAGTACTCTCGAGGGAGAGTAAGCATATCTTTCCGGTGGACGTTGTCCAACAACTGCACGAGTGGCCGCAGGTTTGCGTTCACGTGACTGTCCCATCCTTGGAGCAGCACGAACGCATTCTCCTGCACCAATGCATTTAGGATGCATCGGAGCGCCGCACCCGGTGCCTTGCTGGGCAGACTCATGCGCGATGCGGAGTCCTCCAACCGCACGGCCGACCATTCCTTCGAAATGGCCGAGGGCTTGCCGAGTTGGTGAAAATTCTGGAAGACTTCCACGACCTCTACTCGTGCGTCCATGCTGGTCTGAGACTTTCCTAACCACGACTTGATTTGTGTTATATGATTAGAAAATTGGTTTCGGAGCCGGTTATCTTCGGAGTGCGCCAATTTTCCCGTCATTAAATAACCAAGAAAAGATCGCGATCATGGTTTTTGATGCCTGCAACGAAAATGAGTTAGAAAGCTAACTTGAGAAAGTAAAATAACATAGAAATCAAAAATGACGACTTACTTGTGTCGATGTTGGCGTAAGCATGGACGTAAGATGCCCTTGGAAACGCCCTTTGATAATTACATCCGTGGAAAAAGCCCGCTTTCCTCAGGAAGTAATTATTCTCCTTCTCGTATTGAGCTCCTAGCACCTTGGTCACACCATCGTAGTCAAAGCACAGATGGGAGCCTTTAGGTGCATTGATTGTGCATGCGAAGTGGATCTGCATGGAGACGACGGCTCGAGGATTCTCAATGAAGAAACTAGCCAGCGTCTTCATGCCATCAACGACATCCGTTTTAATACCATGAGCGGCGCGGTAATAGAGTACACGCAGAATAGCTGGATTCTCTGACAAAAGTACTTTTGTCAGTACCTTCAAGTTGCAGCGGAAATCCTCATAGTCTTGTCGGTAAACCTAGAGCCAAAAAAATATCAGTAAACCAAGTAACCCAAGTAACCCACCCGAGATATCTCACGTGCACTTCGGTGGCGCTGGATCTTTTGAAGCTGAGCCTAGTTTCATCGAGCAGCATAACAGCTTCCCGGAAACATCGTTTTAAGAGTCCCGCGAGTTTTAAGCCTCGGAAATCCCTATCCATTCCCAGGAGCGCAATAATCGCTTGTCCTTTGCCGAAGCAGCAGAAGGGAACCTCGACCCAAACGCACACTTCATTGAAGATCCTTAAAAGAGAACGAGTACGGATTAATTAATCAATTAATAAATAAGATGACAGATTAGTTACCTATGAACCTATGAACTAATACTGTTCATAGGTAATGTGGAAACGATATTCTTTATAGTAGTGTAAAACTCAAACCCATAGTTTTGCCTATTCTTTTACTTCATTTGTAATAAACGGATTCCAATTTTTTTTTAGAAATTTGTAAATGTTATTAACAATAACATGTCAGAGCAGGGGAGGTTGGAGGAGGGGAGTCTGGAGGAGGGGAGGGAGGGGGGGCATTTTAGGAGGGGAACCCTCAAAATACCGTGAAAAATGACACAATTTTACGTTATTTTGAGGGGAGCCTGGAGGAGGGGATCTCGGAGGAGGGGAACTTTATCGTCTATATATATATAGTAAGATATTATTTTTTATTTTAGACTTACATCTAAAATTTGAGAGACGCATATTCATTAAAACAAAATTGATAGAAAATTGCACGAATTATTATATTTTTCTTATGTAATACGAAAATGCGACGCTCAATTTAAATAATTTGAATAATTATAGTTCAAATCTTGGATACCTTAGTTATTACCTCACTAGAACTGTAGCTTTATACATAAAATAGAATGAATCTGGCTCGAAAAGATCCGCTCATAAGTAATTTTGGAGAGTTAAAATTCTGGTCTCGTTCTCATTGACTGCTGCATTAGTTACTTCAGAAGTTATGAATAATGTAAGGCATTTTTAAAATTTCCTTGTTTAATCTATGATTTTTTATTAACATTTTTTAAAATTAATTAATAAAAGGCTTTCCAGCTTTTCGCTCCATAAGCACATAATCTACTATTTTTTATTTTTCGAATTATGCTGGGAAATGATGTTGTGAAATTCGTACAAAAAATTTTTGCAATGAATTTTTATGCTTTAGTTTAATTTTAAAAATTAAAAATATGAAGTTTGTTCTCATCAATTCTATTAAACGTAGTGTAATTTGTTGAATTTTATGACATATCAAGGAGGTAATTTCGTGATAATGGATTGGTAGAGATTTTAGGCGATCAAATAAAATATAAAAGTATTAACTTTTTTCATTTTAATTTTTTTATCTTATCACGGTATATGAAAAGTGACCGCACCGAAATCGATGAATAGGTGGACGGATAACGTGCACTTAACATTTGCTCGACAACGTTTAAATTTAGATAAAGGTGTTCAACCGTCATAATTGATGAATTAAGTCATGAGTTTTTGCGCAAGCTGTGTAGCTATTCATGTCTGCTTTGAGTTCTTTCTCAGGTTTGAATAAACGAAAAAATGTTTCAAGTTGTTTTAATTTAATCAATGCAAATTTTTGTTGTTGTTTCAGAGTAAATAAAGTTTGTTTTGAAAAATCAGATTCTGGACTACAGCTACCATTTAAAAAAACTTAAAATTTTTACACAACAACAGAATTTTGTTAAAAAAATTGTTTTTTTTTATTCGTGGATTACAATAAAAAAGAAGACTTTAGAGCAATATAAAATGATTTAACGTCAGTTCAGTGCTCATAATTACTCATAGAAATAATTTGTTTTCATTCAAAAAAATAAACAAATCAAATCAACTTCCAAAAGTTTTGTGTTAAAATCTATAATAAGATAAACATTGAAATCAATAAAATGGCGGAGAAAAATAAAAGTTTAAAAAAATCATCTTCAAGAATGGAGCACGAAATACGATGTCGTTTATTTAGTGATCTTACGAATGAAGTCGTTAGTGAAGATATCTATAGTCATCTTAAAAATTATGAGCATGCGCAGGATCTTAATTGGATATTGATAGAAGCTGTAAAACAAAAAAAAATATGATATATTGGAAAAAATAGTTTCAGCTGGAATAAAACTGACTAGTTATCCCAATTTAAACGTTGAAACGGCCATTCATTATTTTATATGGTATTGTCATATGTATAAATTGAGATGGCTTGATGTGTGTCTTATATGGAATAGTGACGTGAGCAGCTTACTCTTTCAAATCTATGGCGAGACTAATTTTGAAAATAAATTAGGATATTCTCATTTTCATGCAGCTTGTTTGTGTGGCAACGTAGAGATGGTACAGAAATTTGTCGAACAAGGTGTGAATGTAAATGTCACCCATTCAAAGTTTTGGGGCAAAACTCCTCTATTCATGGCTGTTTATAGTAGAAATGAAAAAGTTGTTGAATTACTCTTAAAACACGGTGCTAATCCAAATGCGTTGGGTAGCACATGCTTGAACAAAGCAATTATTTACGAAGACGTGAAAATAGTTGAGATTATTTTGAAGTACGGAGCCAATCTGAACATACTCGATGAAAATGGCAGAGCACCTTTACATGAAGCTAGTCAGGATAGAAGTGCAGAAATCTTGGAAATGCTGTTGAAAGAGGGAGCAAATCCAAATATATTCGACAAGTCAGGAAAAACTCCTCTGCATTATCTCTTTTCAATTTATCCAACACCTTTTACTCCAAAATACATAAATAAAGTTAAAATACTTTTGGAAAATGGCGCTGATGCAAATATTTTTTGGAAGAATAGCAGGTTTTATTTAGGCAATTGGCATTTCAATTTCGATTCAACTTTTGTAGAAATTTTACTTTTATTTTTAAAACACGGTGCCACTTTGGACAAAAGTGCAGAATATTATCTATCTTATATAATTGGTTGGACAGAAAATGAGAAATACCTGGAATTAATAGAATTACTTCTCCAGAAAGGTGCAAATCCAAATACTTCTGACTTTGCAGGTAATCCGTTACTTCACCGTGTCATATTAAGTCGTAGCAAAGAAGCAATTGAAGTATTTTTAAAATATGGTGCCGATCCCAACATCATTGACAGAAACGGCAAGACTCCTTTGATCAGGGCTATTGCATCCAGAGATTATCAAACAGCTAGTTTACTTTTAATTAAGGGTGCAGAACCAAATCGACCCAGCGTACATGGTGAAATACCTCTACAGACAGCTATTTACTTTCATAACTTGGAGTGCGTTGAATTACTTCTAAAAAATGGGGCTGATCCAAAAATTCAACGGTCTGATGGAAAATCACCTTTGTTAATAGCTCTTGAGGACTACAATTTTGAAATCATCGAAGTTCTACTAAAATATAACGTTGATTTGAATATTTCATATCAAGATCGCAAAACTATTTTGGAAAATAGTGTAATGCGTAATCATCCCGAAATCTTTAAAAGAATTTTGGAAGTACCGTATCCATCTTCCACTCGGAGTGATAATGTATCATTATTGCTTTTAGTTGTCAGGTACCGCAGAAGCATAATGCTGAAATCACTTCTTGAATGCGGTTTTGATGCAAGCGTTATCGACGACGATCGCAAAACTGCTTTGCATTATGCCGCTTATGAAGGCAATGAAAAAATGATTGAAGTACTAATAAAATGTTGCAATCCCAATTTACTGGACATAGATGGCAATGCCCCTCTCCATCTGGCGGTTGATCAAGGTCATATAGGAGTAATTGAAGCACTTTTGAAGAACGGAGTCGATCCAGATGTTCTTGATGGAAATGGCAGAACTTGTTTGCATACAATTTGTGAGAATGGATTGTATTATAAAAGTAACCGTTTAATTACATGGAATAGTAGGCCCAGTATTGGTCGCTCAGTTATGAAGCTTATCCATCTTTTTGTCAAGTATAATTGCAATGTCAACGTGAAAGATAAAAAGGGTAACACGCCACTGTTCACAATATTCAGTACTTACGATATCGTAGAATATAATATGGAAATGCGAGAATATCAAAGAGACGCAATGCAAATTTTGCTAAAACATGCAAATATTTCGGAAGTCAACCTTAATCGACAATCAATATTACATTTGGTAGTTGATTCTTGTTTACGTGTACCTCTCAGTGATGCTTCGGAGAATGTCAAAGATGAAATTGGAATTGAGATGGTTGAAATTCTTTTAAAAAGTGGAACCAACGTAGATGCCGAGGACATATGGGGCCAGTCCCCATTATTCATTGCTGTAACTCATTTGAATTACGATGTGGTTAAATTACTCCTGGAGTATGGAGCAAGTGTGTCGAATATTTGCTTTAATAAAGAAGACTTTAAGGATGTTAAAAAATTACTACCGCGAGCAGAGATCTCTCTATATTTTTTGGAAATTATGGATATTTTGGAAAAAGAAGGTTATAAGAATAACCTACGTGAATTTGAGATAGTTAAATATTTATTTCTACCAACTTCTAATTGAAATAATAGTGAATGTAATAGTAAAGTATGACCTTCTTTTTCACGATGTAAAAATTCCTATAGATAATTCAATAATTAATATTTTTTATTCCAGGTTTTATAGGCAGTTATCAATATCAACTGTAACTAGAGTTATGAAAACTACTTCTATCCGGTTTTTTGCTGTAAATTAGTATTATAATCTAATATTGCAACATGTCATTATTTACATTATAATTACCGAATTGATTGCTGTAAAAGTCATACATACCATGGCGCATTTTAAGACCTTACTTGTGTAATCAATAATTTTTTATTCTTTCTTAAATCTTCCTCGATACCGTTACCAATAAATAAAATGACACAATGTAATATCATACAAGTTAAATGTCTATAATTTACACAAAATTCTTTTTCCTCACATTTACAAAGGTGGTAACAAATGCAGACCAACTGCTTGCGCACCTAACGATCTTCAATCAATTATGCATTCATCCAATATCGTCTACTCTACTTACGCGCATGAAACGTTTATTCTGGTTTTATTCGCAAAAAAATTACAATGTTGTTTCCTTGGAGATTTATACGGAAAAAGTAGGGAAAAAAACTGTTTCTTTTTCCCCTCGGTAGCTATTAGTCGCTCGTTACAGCGCTCAGCAGTAAGGCTGTTGATATTTTGAATTGATGGCCGCTGCCTCACCGAAACGATGCATAAATCCCTTACTCAGTCTGCTGCTAAAAGTGGCTGGCTGTCATCCAGACTTCACGAGCGGGATAGGATTTTCGCTCGCTTTCGTTTGGGGATGCATGCTCGTTTTACCGTTTGAGATCTGGTTCTCGATCGAGCACATGAACGACATCGACAAACTGATGGAATGCTTCGGGATCCTCACGGGGATTCTCGGATACGGATCCAAGTTACTCATGCTGCGATTAAGCTGGAGGTAAAGCGCACAGTCAGCATTGCTTTTCAATTTTCAATTAAATTCAATTCGCATTGCTCTCGATCAGGTCGGTTTCGAGTTTAGTCCAAATTATCATCAGCGATTACGAAGCCACGAGGGAGCCAGCTTTGAGGGCTGCGCTACTGAAAAACTACAAAATAGGCACTGGTGTGACGAAACTGCTCTTCGGGACCTACACGAGTCTGGCCTTCTTCATACCGATTGAAAATTGCATTAGAATTGCGCGAAACGGCTACACGCCGAGCTTATTGTACAGTGTCCCGACGAGTTATCCCATGATAAAGAAGACAGCGAAAAATCACATCATGGTGAATTTCGTGCAATTGACGCAAGTTATCGTTGCTGGTTCCGGGCACGCTTTGTGCGACGTATTCTTCACCGTACTAGTAATTATCGCTCAAAGTCGCATCATTCGATATTTTTTTCCTAAATTGAATAATTGAAGCAGCTCGAACGCAGGTGATGCACGCGGCTTTCAAATCGCTCGTTCTGCGAACAGCTATAAAAAGATATTTCGAAGTGTGCACGAGACAAAAGAAAGATCTGAAAGTCATTAGCGACGCGATGAACCGCGTTATCCTATATCACAGGGAATTTTTGAAATTCACTCAGATATTCGAAGACGCTTACTGCTACGTTGTGTTCTGTCAAATATTTTGTATAACTTTGCAGACGGTGGGATCAGGATATATTTTGATACTCGTAAGTATTGTTGTAGGCGCTTTTTATATAAATTTATTATCACGTATTGATACGCTTATCTAAAAAATTTTAACTGAAAATATTCCAAGAATTTTGGTTTTTGATCAAATTAAACTGCCATAATATTTAGAATCACTTTTTGTTGCAATATTTTTGAGCTTTCTCCTGTTGTAAAAATTACTAATTAGTTAGCTGAGGATCAAAAAATGTGGAGCGTTGAATTTTTGAAGTACATAAATTTTATCATGGTCGATGTGTTCAGTATAATGGCATACTGTACCGCGGGAGAGTACTACACACATCAGGTATCATTCATAATTCAACCAGCTATCGTACAAACATCTTTGTTAATATTTCCAATGTTTTTAGAGTATAAAAATTTACGAACAACTTTGCAAATCTTCTTGGTACGATTTAAGCATATCCGAAATGAAGTCCGTTTTATTTCTCATGATTCATACGCAAAAATTCGTCGCTATAACTTCGGGAAAATTCAAGAATTTACAGCTGGATTGCTGCACGTCCGTAAGTTTACCGAAATCCTATTCAAGTTTTTGAGAATGATTCTTTTCTTTTCTACGTAATTTTGCAGATAATGAAAGGGACGTATTCGTATTTATCGATGTTCCGGGCTACGCGTAATCGTGATTGATCGAGTTAAAAATTATTGATGTAGTACAGAGTAGTAAATAAATGAGTAAATGAACATTCAAAATATATTTATTTTCTCAGATTTCAATAATAAAATGTAGGTATACTTTCAATGAACGTGTAAAAATGTCAAAACAGTTATACATCGATTTATTAATAATTTCATAGCATAACATGACATAAATGACGAAATCATAAAACAAGAATACAATTTATAATTCAAAGTTAATTCTATAATATATCTTTTTTATTTATTTATTTATTTAATTTTTATTTTTTGGTTGTTGCAAAATACATGAGATTGATGTTGTGTCGTGATCGTGTCGCGTCTCACGCACGCCTAGCTCGATCGAACGCAATTGTCTATATCCCGTCGCATTTGGCATAACGCCCATGAGCAGGTGCACACGAGACGCAACGGAGTTTTTCAATATATATAGGCGAGGATTGATAGCGGCACCACAGTCGTTTGTGTTTTTTGTAAAATTCGTATTAATAACATATTATTATCATTAATATTATTATTATTAATCGTATTGTCACTTTTAGCTGTCGCACACTCCCCAACTTGAAACTGATGTATAAAATTTCATCGTTCCTGGCCAGTTTATCAGTTTGTTTCTGAATCGTCAGTTCAAGGAGGTTTTTTTCTCCCCCCTCCACTCGTTTCTAGTCTACTTAATCGAAAGAGGATACTTTACGAGGATACAAAAAAAAGAAAGTATTACCGAGGCGCGCAGTGCGAAGGACGAGGAGAAGGAAAATAAAGAGTCTAACGTCGGTTACATTAGAACAGCGTGCAAGCTTTGTTTTTTGTTTGTTTTTTTACATCTGGCCACGAACGATGAAGCGTCATACGCGCTTGCGATACAATTTGTATAACGTAATATACATAAATATATTTAAATATATAATCTTTGTTGTTTTGCTTTGGTTTGTTTTTTTTGCTGGCGATAAATGCTCCGTGGCCACACGACTTGATATTAAAAACGGTGGCTCGATGATCGCGAAACGTTGTATACAATGATATATAATTGGCTCTCTCTCTCTCTCCCTCTTTCTCTTTGCTTTTTTTGTCTCTTTCACTGTTCCTCCGATTCTGTTTCTGTTTTCTCTCCCTTGATCCGAGAGGTAAATGGGACGTTGGCGAGTTGTGTCAAGAGGCGATAATAGTCGAGGAGCAGCGTGTGTAATCAATGAGTTTTACAGATTTTAATATCCAGCCAACTCGGCGAAGGTCGAGTCCATCTCGTCGGCCAGAGACTTGTATCTGTCCTTGTTGACGCCGAGCTCGTCTGTAAGAAATTCAAGACAATGGATTAATCATCAAAGTGTAGCTTTTGTTTTCTTATCGCACCGATAATGACTTTCGCGTGCAATTAATGATAATAAGATCGTCGTCGTTTCCTTTTTATTTTATCTTTTTTATTTTTTAATTTGCCGAGAACACTTCTAATGTGATTAATCTACTCGTTAAGTAACTATTGTTTATCTCATTTCAAAATTTTGTAAAGTATTTATTGAAAAATCATACTAATTTTTAGAAAAAAACTGTTAACCAATAAAACGTTAGTAATTTTACTCCTTCGCTTGTTTGAAGCTTATTAATCAAGTATCAGCTTCAACTAATCGTTGCGTCTATAAAAATTCAGATAGTTAATCAATTTGTCGTTAGTTGCATCAAGTGGTATCTTAGTTTGATAAAAATGCTTTTTAAAATTCATTTTTTTTTAGATATTCAGTGAAACATTTTTATGTCATAAAATAAAACTATGTTAAATGGAAGAGCAAAAATTAACTAATATTAATATTTTAAATCGCTAAAATATAGATAAATTAATAATTAAGGAGCCTGAACTATGAGTAATAAAAAAAAAGCTATCAAAGCTCATGATCTCGTGCTTTGACCTATTCATATCATGTCTAAAACGAATTCAGAGGAGATGCGTGAGGAAAAGCTCAGTTGACACTCTTTTAAATTCCACATTCAATTTATTTTTGAACGAAAGTGTGAAGTAGCACGGGTCAATGAGAACCAGTCTTATTACAAGCTTAATTTTTAAATTAAAAAAGTGACCTCGTGAGCTTTTGCTTACGTTTCATCACCTCTATCGCGGCTCGGCGGCTGCGGGAAGTAAGTATCATAACATGGGACATTTTGGAGAGTGCAAGAGAAAGAGAGAGAGAGAGCAGTATTATGAAAGGGGAAATAAATAGTTGTGGAGCGGCGGTGCGCCAAAAATGACACACATGCTCTATTTCTACTAGAATATCCTCGCTCACATGATCGCCACAGCACAACTAATATGAAATATGCTAATCGTGTGCTTGGTCTCATTCTATTTTTTTTTTTTTTTTTCAACTACTCAGCAAAGAGGAAGTATAAAAGAACAAAAGTTAAACAAAAAATGGTTGGACAAGCTATCAATATCACGAAATACCTGCATCGATCGTTTTAAGCTCGGTTGCTTGGCGTGAAGCTATACCACATGTTTATACGTTCTTCCTTTTATTCGGCTATACATGTGCGATTTTTTTTTCAAGATTTTCTGTGGTTGTTTTTTTATGTTTATAGATTTGTGGGATAAGCTTGTTAATTACTTTTTAAACTGCTACAATACAGGGTGAATACGATTTCTAAACTATACAGATAAGAGACGAATCACTGTGCATAACATCAATGAAATTCAACGATACAATTGTATTAAAACGTATATTAGTCGTCGCGTTATCATTAACAAGTAATCAAATTACAAGGGGCATTTTTAGTTACAACTAACTTATGTAAAATATTATTTTTGGCAACTTTAAGGTTTGAACTGGTGTCAAATACGACCAGTACAAAAAAACAAGTAAACTACAAAAAATTTTAAGAACTTTTTAAACGGCTTAATAACGCACGTTCGTCTAACATTTTTATAAAATATTGCGATTAAAGATACAATTTTATATTAAAAATTATTTCATGATAACATTTACTCTTATCTAGTCACAGGACATTTAATGATAAAAATACCCTTGAATTTTCATAATACATAGAACAATCATCAAGGTATAAATTAAACGATAATATCAAGCTCATTTGTTATTTGACATTTACACATAAGGGAACGTACGAAGGTAAAGTAGTGTCAAGTATCGTCTACTACTAGGTTGAGAGGGCGGAAAATAGGGAAGCAGTGTAGTTTTCGAACAAATTTTTGAGTTGAAAAAAAAATTTGTTTTTTTTTGCAAAGAATTTGTCTAATAGCCCGTAAGTTCGGCAAATGTCGAATCCAAGTCGTCGCAAATTGCTTTGTGCTTCTCCTTCTGTCGGAACAAATCGTCTGCAAGAGAAATCGGTTTTTTTTTCGTTTTTTTTTCCATAACAAAGGTACAAAAATTCAGGTGATTTGGCTACATTGACGGTGAACTACTTTTTCGTTTCGACTAACTATTTTTGGTAGAAAAAAAAATTTCAAATAAAAATCATTCTTAAGTACGGCGCTTTTTTCGTCATTAATAGTTAATTGAAAAAGCTGCTCTCTACTGTCCGTTGGTAAATTTTTATAAATTATTATTAATTTTATGAAAAATAAATTAATGTATTTTTCTGTTATCAACGATCGCACGATGATTTTGGCAAACTGACCTTCGAGCCTGTCGACTTCCTTCTGAAGTTTCTTGACAGTCTTTTCGGCGAATTCAGCGCGTGCTTCGGCTTCCTTGAGTTTGACTGTCAAAGTTTTCAATTGTCGTTTGAATTCTTCGACTCTTTGGTTGGCCTACGAAGAATATTGTTTAGTTAAATATAGTTAAAAATGTTTAACCGTATTTGGTTTAATAAATTTACCTTTTCTTCGGAGACTTCCAATGATTTCAAGCTGTTTCCTACGACCTTCAATTCTTCTTCCAGCTCCATAATTTTGCTAAAGATAAAAAACATAGCGATATAATATAAAATAATATTTGTAACGAGAACAAAACCTAAACTATATCTTACGCTTCTCCAGATTTGACGCGGTCTTCTGCTACTTCGAGTTCGTCTTCAACGAAGGCCAATTTACGAGACACTTCGTCGGATTTGCCGTCGGCATCTTCAGCCAGGAGACGAGCTTCTTTCAGTTGATTCGTTAATTGATCCATGCGCTCTTCATCTTGCTGGGCACGGTTCTCCAATACTTTGCACATACTGCGAAATGAGTTCGACGTATTAATCATTTGTCGGTAAAAAGAAATCGCTATTTCATACCGATGAACTGAATCTCTGATAATTTAACCGAAATTGAGCATCAAAAACAAGTCGCAAGATCTCACTCAAATAGAATATTCAATTTTCTATTCAAATACGCGCGAGCAAAAATAGACATGTTTCTATTTTCATAGTATCGTAAGTTTTGCAAAAAAAGAAAACGGCAAAAGTTAATGCAACCATCATTCAGTTCACAGTCTAAATATACCATTTAAAAAACGTAGGACATGTCGTTTCATTGAGACTTTATTTAAAATCTCGACGAAGACGACGTGTTTTCGTCATCGCGCGACGCGGCGCGCTCAAGCGTCTGCATTACGCAAGACATATATAATATATATTATGCGACTCACCGACTCGACTCGTCAGCGGCCTGGGAAGCCTCGGTGAGCTTGGCACTGGCGGTATTGAGACGTTCCTCCGAGCGTTCCAAGTCTTCTTCGATGATCTGGACTTTTCTGTTCAACGCTGCTACTTCGGATTCAGCCTGGATCGCGAGGAATACAATGCAATGTCAATTCAAGTTGAAATCGATAAAAAAATAAGGGGGGTTGGAAGGAGTGGTCAAAAGAAGATCATTAGGCTCACATTGGTGAGGGACTTTTCGCGTTCTTCCAGGTCCTTGTTCGCTTGTTCGAGGTTGGCCTTGTTGGTTGTGAGATCGTTTTCGACTTGGGACAATTTTTTGGTGAGATCCTGAACTTCCTCGAGGACCTTGTCCGCGCGCATATTGGCCTCCTTGGCCTGTCCCTCGCACACGTCGGCTTTGTCCTGTGCATTGTCTTTTTCAAGCTTCATCGCTTGCATCTTCTTCTTGATCGCGTCCATGGTGGATGCTTTTTTGTTGCTCTCTTACCGGTTAAATAAACAATACTGCTTGAATGGAGAAAAAAGAAAAGAAAAAACAGATTAGGTATTGCGTTTGAAAGACGGCCACTGTTTTGGAGTGATTTCAAGTGACACAGAGGAGCGTTTTGTTAAGCAGCTTGCTTGCAGAGCACGAATTTATTTGCTACTTATTAGAGAATTCGACGTTAAGTAACATCAAATGAACGTTAATAATACTAAATAACAATTCACAAAATAACACATAAACAAACAAATAAAATCATGTTATTTGCACACACACGCACACACGCAAAAAAAAAAGAATCGAAGCAACGCACAACGCTTGCAAAGCTCGACGAAAGCTCTGGAGCTTTTATTACGGCACGCGGGGGATCGTAAATTATTATTTAATGATCGCATCATCAATCGGATAAACAAAAAATATCCAAAATCATCAACGGGGGGGAATTTTCATAGCCGACGCGGCTAATAATAGCTCGACGTCGCCGGGGTAACACGCGTTATAAAGTTTAGCGCAAATTTTAGCGGTGCCTGGCGAGTTACTTAAGTGTCACATAAACAATTTCTTCTCTGCGCGCGAACTCGCGGAGACCAGTCCGCGCGTTGGGCGTCGTCGTAGTCGTCGAGAGAAGCTTTTTTGAGAAAAAGCAGTCATCGGCAATCGAACGGCGCCCGTTTATATCTGTGACACGCTCGATCGATGATATGCATTTTGTCGCGATTATGCGCGTTTTAGTAGTTGTTAACGAGGCAACTCGTAACGCATTCGCAATCGTAATTTCCGAAAGAAGTTGGCTACGAATCGAAGTGTGCGCTAAATAATAATCGTGTTTCTCAGCGCCGCGAGCTCGCGAAGATGCCCCTCTACCTTCCGCCTGTCTCAACGAGGCATGACTATAATTATTTCTCTTCCTCGGTCAATTTTTTCGTTTGGCAAAAATAAGGAAACAACAAAACACGAGTCTTTGAAAAAAAAAGAACTCGCGCATAAACATCGTTATAGTCATCGCGACGACGATGATCATCATCTGCGCTCGAAACCCAGGCCGTGCGTATATCTACGGAAATAGCCCGAGGAACGGAATCTAATAATAATCAGAAAAGCGCAAGAACAGTAGCAGGCGCATAAGCATTGGGTATAGAGTAGCGAAAAAGAGAGAGAGAGAGAGAGAGAAGTATATAGACAACTCGAGGTGCTGCCGCTGCTGCTTTCCAGCCGCCTCGAGACTTAGAGCTTCGAATTGCCCCCAACAACCACAAGCAGTGGCGGACGGCTGAGATGATATTTATAGCGTATATATACCAACCGAGAAAGAGTAAGAGAGAGAGAGAGATAGATATAGATGTATACAGAGGCGGACGTAGCGCGAGCTGGGACTTTTGCGCAAAAAACGTATACACATACGCTCGCATACTTTAAACATGAATGCGAAAATGTGGACTTTTCAAAATTATAACGCGAATTTTAACTATTAATAGATCGGAACTGTTTTTTTCGTGTCGCGTGGATATCGTTCGCTTTTTTTTTGTATTTCTTCCGCGAGTCATTGAAAATCGAAAACTCGAATCAACGCGATTCATTTGACAGGAAAGCCCTTTTTCATTAATTATTGATATCAAATCATGTGTGCGAGGCTTCAAGGATGCGACCGTAAAATTTACACATACAATGAGAGAGTGACATTTTTACATTCGGATGCGTCCGCCTGTGCTTGCTTGCCTCGGTCGCGGACTCGACCCACTTAGTCATGTATTTATCTTCCATGCAAACTTTTGGAAATTTATTTCGGGAATTAAAGCTCGAGAGCTTGCGAGCTTGTGCAAAGAAAAAAAAAGAAGAAGAAAAGTCACTCCGACCCGTCCGCACGTACAATGACACTTTTCGAGTGACGCAAGCTCGATGTTGAATGAAAGCTCGAATTACACACTCGAAACGCGCGTAAATAACAACATTTTCTGGAAAAATGCGGGTGCGGGATAAAATAAGTCACCGAGAACTTATTTTTAAAGCGTATAATTAAATATCTGCGAACAAGCGCCAACTACGAGAAAAAAAAGTTCGATCTTCTCCAGAACAATGATGAACGCCGAAGCTTTTTTATAAATAAACTAATTATCGAACGATTATCCGCCGGAAACTCATTTATTTTTGCCGCGGGCAAAATACCTCTACGCGTGACCAAGATGTCTCGGACGCTTGACGCTCCTGTCTTTCGTTCCTCGGATTCAATCGTCGGCATACACAAAGGGCGCCGATGCCAAAAGCGCGTCAAATTCTTCTTTTTTTTCGCTGCTACGCATACGTTTTGCGGGCGTGCGTGCAAACTTTTCCGATCGCTAATTTAGCCTGCATGGATGCTTGAACGATCGTTTCGCGATTCGGACACGGTCGATCAGCGTTTCAAAAAATTCGCCAATTCTTCTGCTCGCTGAGGATTTTGCCAGTTCTATAAAAAAAGCGCTTACACATAACCCATACAGACACACGCGCTCGCGTTCTATTTCTAAGCTTCTCGCCGAAGGTTATATATATGTATGTGTACGTATTAGCCCGTAGCAGATCTTTGATGTCGTTATCGTGCAATCATCCTTTTCCAATTAGCTGGTGACCTTGAATCCGCCGCCGAATAATAGTCCTCCAAAAAGCTACGTAACTCGCGTAAATACACACGCGCGCGTATAGGCACATTGTCGGTCATTTTCATACCCACCCCCGACAAAATGATTGCGCGCTCGCGCGCGCGCGAAAAAGGCCGTAACTCTTCCGTCGCTAAAATAGAATTTGGCTGCAGAAAATGCGCGCATTCCGCCCATTACGCTGCATTTCTCTTTTTCTCTTGTGTGACTCGGGAGTCGCGTTTTCCGTCTCTCTCTCTCTCTCTTGCTCTCTTCTCGTGCTCGTCTATGACCTGATTCTCGCCGCTGCAAAGCACATCAAGAGAGAGAGAAAGAGAGATCCCGAGACGAATTTCCCGGATACGCGCAAACTCGCAAACTACTGCTGAAAACTACTACTTCTCTTTCGATTGTTAATTAATCTGACTCAAGAAAAGGTGATGCTTGCATGGTATATAAGAGTAAATAAAGTCATCAAAACAAATGCTGTCATTCCACCTTGAATCTGATAATTTTAGAAAAGTCAATGGCGTCGCCCCCGCATTCGCGCAGCCAATAAATTTGTTTCCTATTTTTAAGAAAAAAAGCTGCGTTATTACGCCAATCATCTTCCCCTTTTAAGCGATTATAATAACGATCCACTTGTTTCGATGATTATGATGTCAGAGCTCGCAGTACCGTGTGGCTCGCAACGTTACAACGCAGACCGAGACTCTCTCTCTCTCTCTTTCTGTCTCGATATAGTGACAAAAATAACAAAATCTAAATTCGTATATCAATGAAAGAAAAAAACATTCGGTCACACTTTCGAAAAATAAAAACTGCGCGCGGGCGCTTTATGAATTTGACGCGAAAGTTGGAAAACTTTAAAAATAAAAAGCGCTGCCTCGAGGAAGGCGTATTAATAGCCACGGCCGCGAGCGGGATTAGGTTACTTGACGGCTCTCGGTCGCGGGACCGAACTACTACTTGCTTACTCCGTAATGCGTGTATGTACACAGCGTTTCGCAAAATTCGATCGCAAGTTCTGCGTCGACGAAGAAACCGATGCACTAGAGCTGTTGCACTGAGAAAAACTGCAAATGTTACAGACCTCGTTCTCCGCTGAATTCGATAACTCAGAATTTGGACGGAAACGATACCCGACAAATGTACTATAATAAAATTTATTTCAATGGAGGGGTACGGGAAGGGTAAAAAAATGGGCTGCGGATGCGTGTTAAAAGCGTTAAGTACTTACTGCTCGATAAAACCACAGAAACAGTGCAAACGAGAAGCGGCAGAACTAGTAGTAGAAGCAGTTGTTATCGAAAGCTCGTCGAGCTTTTCTTCCGTGGGCCTCGGTCCGCCGTACGAATCCTCCATTATTGCTTGCACCAAAATCATTGGAGTTTACCAGCAGAAGTAATAGAAGTAGAGGCTGATCAAATCAATCACACAACACAGCAAAGTAGAAAAAACGCACGACGACGATTATTTTAATTGGCGATCAACGATTTCGCTTCTCTCGTGGAAGATTGTGCGCGCACTCGCGATGTAAAACTTGTTTCTCTCGCCTTTTCGTCAGCAAAAATTCTTTCAAACCATACAGAGTAGCGAAAGCAGCTTTGCGTGTATTATTTTTGTTAACGATTATTCTCTGCGTTCTTTTCTCTCTTTCTTTTATTTTCTCAATTTCTCCAAGAACGGAAAAACTTACCTACCCGAACGAACGGAGCGACGCGCGTCGAGTGACTCTCGCGGCCTCAGAATTTCGTTCACGACGTTGCCTCGGCTTTTCGGAATATAACGTTGAAAACTCGCCGTGGTGCCGCTATACATGTAGATGTGCGAGGGCGGGGAAGAGCAGCGGCGAGACGCGCTCGGGTAGTGGGGAATCCAAAAATGGCGCGCGCTTACAGCTCTGCTGTGCGAGCTTCTCGTTCACCCATACCTACACAAGCTCTCCTCTAGCTCATCGGATTATTATTTCGACAACGTGAAATTTTTCTCTTCCTCTCTCTTACCCGTTCTTTCTTTCTCTCTCTCTTTTTCACTCTCCGTTTTGCAAGATTGCGAGTGGAACGCGGCATTCTTTTTTCGGCGCTTGCTCCATTATTTTCTACACGATCGGTGCTCTCTCTCTCTCTTTCTCTCGCTCGCTCGCGCATACGATTCTTTTTTTGTAAAAAAAGCTTTTCCGCTCTTTGCCCACATTATCAAATAGCTGCTCTCTTTCGCAACGGTTCTGCGGTTAATATATGTTAGATAGATCTCTCGTTGGGCAATGACAATGAAAACTTTTTAAATATCCCGCTATGGAGCTTTAAAGCACACACACACGCTTTCGAGATTCTTTAAAGTAGAGCGGCGGGGGACTAGCGACGAGGCCTGCTGGCGATGTAACGCGCGCACATCGGATAAATATTTATGTCAATGTATTACAGAGTCTCTGACTGCTTTTTTTAGTTGAATGAGTTCGTATATTTATCTCTGTAAAACTTTTCACCGACTTGTAAGAACGAAAATTGACCTTACCCCAATTAGGATTTTTTGTTCTGGCGGTTCCTCTTTATTTGCCCTGAACAATACTTACCCATTTTTTAGGTGAATGATGAATTTGTAATTTTTTGCATCGCCGAATAATTTTTTTTTCAATCACTGTAGTTTTAAAGTAAATAAGGTTCAGAAAATAGAAAGCAACTTATCTTGTAGACAACGATGTAGATTATTATTTTTCAATAGCTAACTGACAATACATGGATATTCTCTTTGAAAAAAATTCAATTGCCGACTGCAAAATACTTTGCTCAATGAATTTTAAAAAATACAAAAGCAAAATGACTTTTTCATAAAAATAAAATTTTTTAGTTCAAATGCTATCATAACAGATTTTGGACGTTTATAGCACATGTGGATCAAAGACTATGGTTTCCAGCAATCAATTCAAAACTGAATTTAAAAATTACATAATAGACGGTACCTATTTATAGCTAAAGTTACATGTACACAGATGATATAGAGTATTTAATTTTTCTAATTTAGTACACAGTTAATTATGTGCTTGGTTTTTATTCATCCAAGATGGTAAAATAAATTTGTAATTATGAACCTCCACACGTATTGAATGATTATTGTTGTATAATCAACTTGTTTATTTTCATTTCCGCTGATCCATGGAATTTTTGAAAGCTATTATTGGAACGAACATCTCAGAATCAAAATATGGATTTTATCAACCAAGTCATTGAATGCTCTACTTTCGCACTTAAAATTGATTTAATAATTTTTTCTACTAAAACTTTACTATCACAAACATGTTCCAGAAGTTGAAAAAAATTTGTAGTTTTTAGGAGTAAATAAACAAACTAGGATCAATAAGTTTGATTTAAAATGTTTTATTTGCCACATTTTTATTAGCTCAAACGATATCATCAGGCTGAACAAAAATAACCTACGGGTATTTTTGTGCACCACAATGTATTCTTTAATATAAAATTTCTATACGCGCAAATCAATCTTCAATTTTCTACAAAAAATTGAGTATAAATATTTACAACGCCTCAAGTTTATGATTTTTTTAGATGATATAAAAGTAAGAAGTTCGCATAAGAAAAAAAATTCCGGGTATAACATTGAAGAATTGTAAAATTCTTTTTAAAGTACCATTCAAAAAAGTTATGTTAGAGAAATTACGAAACAAAATAAATAAATAATTGCAAAGTTACATTTTATGTTGATATATTTCGTAACATTTGGATTATTTTTAATAAATCATGCAAACTGTACATTCATTTTTCATGATAATCAAATTTCATGATGATTGTACATTTAAATTTGCTATAAAAAAACTTTTTAAAATTTCATTCTTAGCGCATTGTTTTTTGGCATTGTTATATTTAAACGAGGACGTATTTCTTGATCTTAGCAAATAATTTTAATAATTCATAAAATTAACTTAAAGTAAAATTTCAGTAAGAACTATAAAAATCAAATCTCTTGCAGTATAGATATTACATAGTTATTTATTTATTAACTTCTAACAACTTCTTCGTCCATCTTGAAGCAAAATATCAGATAAGTAGCAAATAAGATATAAATAAAACAACTGTTTTCAAGTTTTATCTCGAATATGAAAATATGCACTTCTCAAATCATTGCCCAGTTTATTACTACAGATAAAATATAAATTATATATAATAATTTATGAAAATTATTTGTCTTTATTGAGGAAGCTCTAAATGTTGATTGGTTCCATATATGTTTTATGACCCAAGAAATTAAAATAAATAATAATTTAATCATTAAATAAATTTCGAATACTATGAAATTAACCATATGAGGAAATCTAAGTTATTTACTTTTGAGCGATTCTTAGTTCATTTAATCTCGATAAAATTTTGGTAGCTACTAAAATTATATGCAAATTTAGAAATTTATTTTCCATTGCTCTGGTTTATGCACCTTAATATCATTTAGAGCACTTGATGAAGTAAATTTTATCACATTACGAAAGTCAAATTTTGCTTCATATATATAATATGTTTCTCAATGCTTCTTATAACTATTATTTGAATGCCGCAGAACAATACAATTGTTCTATTAAATCTCTTTTGTAATCTATTTAAATCTATATTTTTGAAAAACTGTCGGATTCATACAATTGCATTTATTTTTTTTAATACTTTGGTACTTGTGTTCAATAATATGCATTTAAAATTCCACTCAAATTTTATCGAATTGAAGAAAAAATATTTTTGGCAAGAGTTTTAAATGATTTCAGGACGTATAAAATTATTACAAATATTTCATTTAATTACAATAAAAACGCTAAGTGGTGCAAATAGCCCACTCTAGTTTACATATTTTTCATTCAAAATTGGCATTACTCAAACAGTACATGGTTCAATTTTTCAGTAATATAAGTATTGAATAAGATATACATTATCTTCCGGTATGTGTAATCAATAATTGACAATTCTTTATTTTGCAAATAAAATCTGATTTGAAATTTGGATAAACTTATGTCAAGTTTGTAGAATAATATTTTTAAAAAGGCGTTTATTAATAATTAATAGTAAGCGGAAAAACATTCGCATTTTTATCATCGCAGGCAGTGCATGTGGAATAATCTTGCTCTCAGATCCATGGATTTTTTCAATATGAATCTGTTATAGTTGCGAAAGCGTATGGCGAATTTCCATGTTCGGGATGATTCCAAATTTTAGTAGCTGGCAAGATCAGCAAAAGTTTGGTCCATTTCATCGGCAATAGCTTTGTACTTACTGCGTTCATTTATCAGATCGTCTGCAATTCAATCATAAGAATCGAGTGTTAGTAAAAACGTCAATACGTATAAATTATAATGAGGTTACTTTTGTTGAAAGAATTGAGTAAAAATAATTAACACCATAGATTTTTACCTCTAATTAAATAATTTTTTTTATTCATAAAAAATACTCAATCACGATGAAAATATTTTATATTTGCTTATATTCATAACAATAACTGCGTACTTATGAATGCGAACTTAAATGAAAAAAGGGATTTTGATAATAGAACACATTAAATCTTGAATTTGGAAGTTTCTGATTTTACAAAATGTGCATACTCTCAGTTATCTATTTTAAGACCATTATACAGCAGAATAAAAAACTTAAACTATTCTCAATCCAAAAAATTTTTGTATTTAAAAGAAAAGTTTCGTCCATCCATATTAATTCTCAAGAATTGGATTGAGAACAGATAAGGAAAATTTGGAAAAACTAAAATCAGATGAAAATAAAATAAAATAAAATAAAATACCTTAAATGTCCAAAGTTGAAAAGAACCTTCGGTGCGGATAATAATAATTTAAAAACATCTTCACGTAGGTGTGGAATATTGTAAGCTTTTCAACTCTTTTGTTATTTTAATTCAACAAATTTTGACCAAAATATTGTCAGTGAAAAATACGACGTTTCAAGCATAGAAGATCGCGAAAATATCGAGACAATTGGTCTTTACTCAACATTCTTTATTCATCTATTCTAAATTATTGCCAAATTTGTTTTTTTAGGTCATTGAATAAATGAACGACAATGATTAAACGAATTCATACATAATTTATTTAGCAAAATAATAAGTCTGTAAATTATTTTGCAAAAAAATTTTATTATAAAATTCTGTAGAGCTGTGCACTGGGGTAAACAATTATCTGACACATACACCAATAGAGAATAATAAATAAATATATAACAGTAAAGTGAATTTATTCGGTCCTATCGCTTGTTGAAACCAAAAATAAATAATTTCTAACATAAATATAGGTGATCATCTGGTTTTTTTAAAATTTTAATTCACACGCTTCAAGGTATTGAATGAATCAATTATCTTATTAATAAGACACGTAAATATATATTTGCATCAACGTTTATAAAGCGGTGAAAAAACGATACAACATAAATTATATAATTTTCCAATTTATGTAATTTTCAACTCATGGTAAATTTTATAGCGATTACAATATTAAAGTAATAATAATTACGAAAAGAGATAAAAAGGAAAAACAACGAGAATGTGAACATATTTTGAAGTGGTGATGGATATGTGAGACTGGAAAATCACGCAAGTCCGTGCTTACATTATATATTAAGTTTTAATTATACAGTATTACAAGTAATAATAATTATTATAATTATTATAACGATGAATTATTGTCATAAATATTATGCAGATGCTGTTGATTAACAATTGCTGATCATGATAACAAATTTTTTGGTAGTAGCTGCGATCGACGGTAGTGACTTTTGCCACGATTTTTTCGTGTAATTTTTGGCTTTGAATGATTTCTCGTTGTTGATTTTGTTGTTTGACGTGCGAAATATTGATGTTGATATCGCAAAGCTTAACCAACCAATTCGGTAAAGGTGAGATCCAAATCGTCGCAGATGTATTTGTACTTTTCCTTCTCGTGAACGAGTTCGTCTGAAAATAATCAAGATGCAATTTAATTCTGATCTCCTCATCACCAATACAATAAATGTATCCCTTTGTTAAAGTAAAACCATTTCCCAAGATAATATCGATTTCTTTACCAAATTGTCCATGTTTGTGTATCCCTTATCCAGACTTATTACGTTGAAAAATTAAATCAAACTTACTGCTATTAAAATGATGGTAATGAAGCGAAAATGTATAAGCATTTATATTTGAAGCGTTAGTTGAAGTAGCTATTAGTTGAGTTTTAAACTCCGTAGAGTTCTTGGAACGCATTGTCTAAGCCATCGCCAACCTCCTTGTATTTTTCTTTTTCTGCTACCATCTCATCTAAAAGCAGGCGCAAATCCACATTTTTGAGAACTCAATCAAAGCGGATTTTAGAAAAGTCTTAAATAAATTGATGTATTAATGTTTCAATTTTTTGGCAAATAGCGTCAAAGAAGTTCACCTTTTCGTGTAGATAGCTGCTATGCAGCAGGCATGTAAGTAGCAGAAATCAAGAATAAATGTGATCGTTATTGTCTCACACGATTTTACAGAAAATGTATTATTAGGTAGTCCAAAAAACAAAAGTCTCAAAACACTACTTACCTTTCAAATTTAAATTTGTTCACTTATCCTGGACCGCGATCTATTTTGATACTTTTCACACATAAAGTTTCATTTTTTGTTAATGCTTACGATGGATGGATTTATCATTGAGGGATTGTATTAGTGTGGAGTCGAGCGCAAATTATGTCTAGAGTTAGTAAATGAAAATCAACGAAATAAAAATAAAAAACACACTTCAAAATCAAAATATATATTATAAACATATTTATAATTGTAGCAATATAGTTAATATTACAAAGTGTTATGATCATTTCAATAGTTTATTTTATTAAGTAGATCAACATATTAAACGATATATTTCGATTTTTCTCATAGAATTCTTAAATTCACTAATTATATTAAGTTAATAAAAAAAAATAACGACTGAACGCGTAGAGTCTTGTATTATAGTAAATCCTGTTATCTATTTTTTGATCATAAACTTTCGTATTCATGTATACATTATTTTCATTATTTTCAAAATTCATACATTTAGTTTATTGATAAAAGGCAATAACGCCATCGCGCAAGAAGAAAAACATAAACGACTCTAGGCTTGAACATAGAGAAATGTATATAGTACAAAACGAATTGATGCCCTCTTTTATGTGCCCTGTTTATTATGTAAATATACATAATTTTGTATAAATTGAAAGTTGTGGTTATAATTTTACAATACTCAGACTTTGAAATACCGGAATTTATAAAATTACTTTCCATAAGTTACATTAAAGTAAGGTAAATGTGATTTACACATCTAAACAACAATGTTCAAAGTACACACGAATATGATTATTCACATGTGTAAGGGAGATTATTGTTTTCGATTTAAATTTTTAAATCTGCGTATACACGGCTAAAAATTATTCAAAGCAATATAATGCTATAAATTACAAAATCTACTATAATCTCAAAGAACGAACAATAGAAACAAAATACGTGTTTAATGAAATAAAAAGTATACATACTATATCATTTCTCAAGTTGTATAAAAATAAAGAAGTTAGCACGTTTAACTTTACAGTAGCAAGCAACAATAAACGCAACCCGGATTTAGTAGAACATAACCGAAACACGAATTGCGTCAGTATATATAATAAACTAGAGATACATTCAATGGAAGTTCAATCGACGGAATGTTTGAATTTATGTTTTTTTTTACAATTGCACGATGCAGCATTATTTATTTGCACTTCAATAACTAAAGATCAATCTAGTTTAATTTGATACAAAAAGCGTAAAAGCTCGTCCTGCGATATCAAATGTCAGTTCATTGTAGGTAATAATTTGAATATTTAATCGATAAATAAAAAATTTTTTATAATAGATTTTCTAATGAAACCTATTATTTAGGTTTAGGTACTTTGCTTGATTATTACACATAAGCGGTAGTTTTTAATTTAGCTAAAAATTACCGAAACTAAGTGATAATTGTAATATCCAAATATATCGTTTCAATTATAATTTCAATGAGCGCAAATATAAACGCGAATCATTAGTGTAGAGTAGATGCACTGAAAATGCGTTCGTGATTTAGCCTAACACACGAATCGGTTTAATTTGTAGGACGGTATATGTAAACGTTTTTGTACATAAATCCTCTCGAATAGATCTTCGTTCGTTAATTCCATCTATGGTATATGTGTCGCTTTGCTTTGATTTTTTTTCAATACAAGGTTAGATCTCTCTCGGTAAAGAGTGGCAAAGGCAACACACGTACGACTAAAGACTGCAGTGTTTTTATATTATGTTTTGTTACATTTGTCCCTCAGTTTTCTGTTAAGACGTTTTGCACCACATTATAAACCACGGCACGCAGGGATAATCAAGCGCATGTGTGTTTACATATTCTGGATGTCATGTAGGGTAGCCTCCATCTCATCCTGCAGCAATTTGTTTTTTTTTCTTTCGCCAACAAGGTCGTCTGTAAATATTACTTGTTAGGGCCAGTCTCGCGATAATGAAAAAGATTAAGCGTAAAAATTGGCCGAGCGATCGATTGTTAATTTATTATTTCTCACGTTATTCAAAAATCACGAAAAACACACTGAACAAACACAACTTTTCAGAGACAAAAGGTCACATAAATGTAGGCAAATAAATTAGATTATTTATTTGAAATAATTTTTTACATTTGAAAGAGTAACATGTACATGCAGAAACTATTTCAAATAAATAATCTACTTCTGAATTGGAGTATTTAGTTGCATTTATGGCAAAATTAATATCAAACGCTTGGAACACCTTAGAAGGCTATAACTTACTTGTATATCTCGATATTTCAAAATTACGAATGATTCTAGCTTAAATTTTATTCAATAATAGGTAATAGCAAAATGAGCGAAGTAATCGAAATTGCAAGTATTCTTTGGCATTAAAAGTTCGACTATTAACGCTTATCTTGCAATCAATAGAATTGTAATGGGTTTAAGTTCGAAAAAATACACACCTTCAAGCCTGTCAACTTCCTTCTGGAGTTTCTGCACGGATCTTTCAGCAAACTCAGCGCGAGCCTCAGCCTGAAAAATATTGAAAATGTAATTAGTAAAACGAAATATGTGAAATTTATGAAATCAATGCTATTCCCAAAAAATGCAATTATATTTTGGGAAAACATCTTCTTTGAGAATAGCTCTGATTTTATTTTGATATTATTTCGTTAATTAAACAAAACTCAACACGGTTTTTGTTAATAAATCATTCAAAAGCTCATGCTTTTCAGGATTACATATAAGCAGAAAATTGTCATTTTACACACGCAGACTCCATACCTCTGATGATCTAGGCACATTTACCAGATTTGACCCCTTCATCTACCTTTCTATTTTTGATTATATCATTTTCAACTTGAATTTAATATTTGAAAAAAGTATTTTTGAAGAAATTTTATTTCAAGTTCGGTAGTTTCTTTTACAATAAACTAAAAAGTGAAAGTAAATAACGCGTTTGAATTTTACTAAATATTTTTAACTGAAGAATTTCTTAAATTTTCAATTTTGACTTTTTTTATTCTTACCTCTTTCAATTGACTATCCAAGATCTTGACTTGTCTATCAATGGATTCTTCTCTCATTGTAGCCTTGTTTTTAAAAAAGCGTTTAAAAAAAAACACAATTTGTTTAGTATCAAAAAATAAAGCATTATTTAAATATTGTTTTATGGTTAATGCCGTTGTAAAAAAATTCAAACGTGTAGTAATTTGATTACAACGTACGAGTGGAAATAAAGCACAAGTACTTGTATGCATTACTATCACTTATTTGTGAGAAAATTACATTCAAGTGTTATTGGGGCCATATCAAAATCGAGAAAACATCAAGAACAAACGAAAGGCACTCGTGAAAGACGTGTACCTCCTTTAGACGGGTAGTCAAAGTTTTAATTTGGTTTTTGTATTCCTCCTCACGTTGGTTGGCCTGTTTATAATTTTTAACAATTAATTATTATCAGAATATTGACTATTTTGTAGAAGGATACTTAATAATTCCAAAATTCAATAATTTACACGACGGATTTTTACTTAAGAAAACACAAAGTAAAGTAATTTAAAGGTAAATTGAATTTATTGAATTTATCCGTTGGAACTTATGAAAAATTGTAAACAAATCTTACCTTTTCTTCCGACACTTCAAGAGATTTAAGGTTGTTGCCAACGACACGGAGTTCTTCCTCAAGTTCGACGATTTTTCTGAAAAATTAAAATTGCGTAACATAAGTATGCATCATTAATCGCTCATGACGTTCAGTAAATTAAAGTGCGACTCGAATAATTTAACTTCCGATGAGTATTCAAAGATTAAATATTTGAGTCTCTTAGGCAGGCTTTTAAATATTTAAATTTACTTTATAAAAAATACTATGAACGTCTTTGGTTGAAGTTACAAATGATTTTTACTCACATTATAATATCTTTGAAAATTGAGTAGTAGCATTTAATTTTGTTCAACAGTAACTTAAGATTTTGTTAAATCAATATCTGAATTTTCACGTTATTTTATAGTATCGTTTTTGTCGATTTTTTTAGTTCATAATCCGTTTTCCGTGAATTTATAAAAAGATTAACAGATTTAAACTAATTAGAAGGTATTTTTTATAGAAGTAAATAATAATTTTTCTTCTTTAAAACTGTAATAATAATGCAAACTCAACAAAAAATAAAGCTCAAATAAAAAGCATGCAGGGGAAGCAAATACAGCTAACTTACGTCTCGGAGAATTCATTTTTTTCTTCAGCGCGTTCTAGGTCCTGTTCCATCATGACTAACTTTCTGGCAACCTGTGAGCAATTGCCAACACAAAAACAATCATGCCAAATGTCTAATAAAGCCAGTGCAGTTTTAATAATAGGTGTGAGGAAAGTTATGGACGAAGGAAAACAAAATATTTTTTAGGATATTTAAAGTTTTTAAAAATAAAGGAATATTAGTACAGCATTCGCCGTTGTGGTCCTTGATTCATCAGCTCTTCCAGTAAAAAGTGCTAAATTTGGATAAAAATAAAAATTGTATAGCTTGCAGGATAATGTTAGTTTTGACTACTTTTTTCAATCTAATCAATCTTATTAAAAACAATTTCCAAAGATTTTTTTTATGCAAAAACATTATAGTGTAAATTTAAAAGGCAAACTGCGACCTTGCAATACAGAAGAAATTGAAGTAGTCAAAACTTACATAATTGAAGTGCTCAAAAAACTAATTAATTAATTAAAATCTAGTTAGCTTAAATAACAGTATTGATTTTAATTAATATCATTCAGTCTATTCTTACTTTTAAGCGGTATTATGTGCACTTCCGATTAACTTAAATTAGCGGGACATAATTTTTTATGTAGGGACTTACACAAAATTAACGCACATCAAAATAAAAATAAAACGACCGTATTAAATTTAAAGTGCTTACGATTCACCAGCTTCGGCACGCTCCTCAGCACGTTCTAGATCAGCTTCGACCATGGCCAATTTACGAGCAACCTGCGTTAAAATTATAAGTGTCACAAATACTTTTTTAGACACGAATGAATTCTCTTGATGCACTTTCAAATGATGTTTAATGAAAAATCATGTTTTTCTTTTAGTTATTGAATCGAACAGACAAATGAGCAAATAATTGTATAACCCAGACTTTTATTTGTATCATTAATTTACATTATGATAATATTCATAGTTAAAAAATTTCATGAACTGAAATTCATGCTCTAACAACTCGTTTGTCTCTCTGATATTTTAAAATGTAATCAAAATTAAAGTCTTTTAGGATAAAAATTTGACACATTGCAATCACACGTTTTTAGTTAAAACTATGAGTCTTTTATGTATTAGCAATCCAACGGTGACAAGCAATTAGTAACCACTGCAAACGTAAAAAGTATTTCTTCTGAAATTTGTTAAAATTATAAAGCTTCGGTACGCATACCACTGAATTGTTCGAAGCTTATATTTAGTTGAGTAAAATCAAAAATAATTTAAATGCTTGTTTGTTAAAAGCATTTTCTTATGTTAAATTTAAAAACTCATTGTATGCATACCTATACAATAAAAACCTATTCACCGAATGCACTAAATGCATAACCCACCTTATCAGTAACAGTATAATAGAAGACTTATTTATATTAGTTAAAATTGAAAAAGGTTCGAATCAAATTCGATTATTAACCACGTCTTATCATTAGAATGAACTCAATATTAATATTTTCAATAACAAAAGCTACTATTAATCGCTTTGTCTTTATGGGACTTATAAAATTTAATTTTACCTAAATATATAGTTACTTTAAAACTCTAAATCATTAAACTTGCCTTTTTTAACTTGAACCCATATATAAACTAAAAATTCGCATGAATTATATAAAGGGTACTCAAAAGAGATATAACAATCTACATCAAGTCTTAAAAGGCAGCTCAAGCTTCAGCTGATAAGTCTTTAAAAAATCAAATATTTCGTTGTATTCGTATGAAAATAAAAATAAAATATTTTTTAGTCTTTCTTCGAGGAATTAAAAGTAAATGTCTAAAATATCAAACTGACAAGTATAATATCAACGATCCCAGACAATTTTGTAGCACCTTAAACTTTTGGAACATATAATAATAAAAGTAAATCTTTAACTAGTTCATACTCGTCATTTTGCAGGTATTAACCATCACTTTTCTTTTCATACCTCTTGCGTAAAAACTAGATAAAATTTATTCGAACCACTAACACTCGTTATCTTCCAAAACTTTATCCAAAAGCGTTATCGTCACTCATGAACACCGAGTGTGGTGGAGGACAAAAACCTACACGTGTTACACAACGTGCATCAATTGAAAAAGCACCACTAACTTTTACAAACTGCCTTAGGCAGTTTGAATTTTCTTCCTAAACACTATTAACTAGTAACAACTATACATTTTCCCCACTTTAGTTGCACGAAATTAATGACTTTCACGTCAGTTAGACACACATTGAAATTATGGTTAGGCACTTTTCTACTCGCGCTTTTGGCTAACGACTAGGAGCAGTTGTTGTTATTATGAAAAATTTTCACAGAAACACCACAACTAGCAGCAACTCCAGAAGGTTCGCAAACCTCATCGTATTTTTTATCGGCTTCTTCTGCTAGGAAACGGGCTTCTTTAAGCTGATTTTCCAGGGCGTCCATGCGCTCTTCATCTGCCAAGCTTCGGTTTTCGAGGATTTTTCGAGCGCTTTATGTATAGAATATATGTTTATTAGATATCATTATAGTAACAATACTTAAAATTACAATCTATTAATAATGAGCAGCAACTCAGCAACGGCATCAGCTCTGCAAGTTCTGTAAGAAACGATCTTATCCTAAGCTTAAACGACTATCATTGATTGCACGGTACTAAAATTATTTGGAGAGGAGTGGGAAGGATTCTAGGTTTTACTTATTTTGACAGCTAATTGCTGACAAAAACCCACCTCTTCGTATTTTTTGTCGGCTTCCTCAGCAATGAGTTTGGCTTGTGCCAACTGCTGTTCCAGTTGTGCCACCCGGTCATCTTCCATGTTTGTGCGATTTTCGAGTGCCTTGCGTATCCTAATTTGGGTTTCGTGGAAAATTTTATGGTTTTTTGATTAGTCGTACAGAGCGTTGAAAGATCTTTCACGAAAATTCGTATGTTTGAGCATGTTCAATTTGATGAGTGCGACGGCACTCGTTTCAAAAGAAAATTTTGATGACAGTGCTTGCTTTCAACGACTCGTAGGTATATTAATGAAAAAGGTAAGGAATTGATAACTTTTGTTATGGAAAAGCTTTGTCAAAGAGTTCTTAACTTACGCGGTTTCAAATTATTGTTGTGAAAAATATACTCTTTAAAGTATACAGCGATTCGAGAACTCGATATGTTATGTTTGTCGGCAAAAGTGTTTATCAAACATAACATTAAACTACAGGAAGTGAAATTCTGACGAATAAAAGATAAAATATAAAACAGAAATTTTAAATTTACAGAATTCAAATCATCTTCTCATTATTTTGAAACAATAATTTTTCCATTTACAAAAGCGGATCGAGGAGTATGAATCATAACAGAAAATAATGCCTTGAAGTTATTGAATCGAAGATTCAATTCTCCAAGCGATTTTTAGCCCTTTGAAACGTGTTCAAAAGCTTTGAGAGCGGCGTTTAATTATCATAGTGATTTCTTTTAAAATGAATTTATTAAAATTAACATTGAGTCATTAATAATTTTTTCTCTTCAAATTGACAATAAAAATTGATCAGTTGAAAAATGCTTCTCAGGGCTAAACCTTGCTCAAGTTATCAAACGCATAAAGATATTGAGTTTATGTAAAATAAATTACTATTAGTAAACCAAGTTCTCTAGTTTGGTTTAAAAAATAACTTTTTTCTAGAATTGATGTAAATTTAACATCGATCGAAGAACAATTAGTGTAAACATAAAAAAATTGCGTTGATAATATGATTCAAGGTATTTGGCTCGATACGCAGTATCGTCATTATAATCATAACACATAGAAATTAACTAATTTTTTTCACGATGATTTGTTCTATTGATTTAATTTTTTAATTTTTTCAAATCTGGCCACTTCAAAATACTTGTACTCTGTGTGCATAGATTATAATTAATAAAACTAGATTTAATTCGTTTCAAAAACTGTTTTCGCATTCAATATTTTGCTAAAAAATTTTTGAAACTAACAATCTCCTTAAAATGGCCAAAATTTTGACAAACTCGCAAGACATTCCAATATGTTCAACAAATTTATTTTTTACAGAAATTAAAGTTGTTAAAAATGTGATTATTTTAGATGTCACCTATAATTTTTTTTAAATAATTGTTGAAGCAAAAATCAATGCAGAAGTAGTGAATCGTTAAATTGTGTCACTTGAAACGTAATTCTAATTTTAACGAAACTACCAAAAATGATTTTAAATGTACTTTATTATTAGTATTTGATCATTAAATTTAAGCCACTTTATGGAAACTTTTTACGCAACTAAGTACAAAGTAACCAATCATGAAATTGTGCATACCGTTCGCTCTCGTCAGCGGCCTGCGAGGCTTCGGCCAACTTGGCAGTTGCCGTAGCCAAGCGTTCCTCTGACCTTTCGAGGTCTTCCTCGAGGAGTTGGATGCGTCGGTTGAGGGCTGCGACTTCAGACTCAGCCTGAAATGATAAAATAAAATAACGTTAGAAAATCAGTAAGCTTGTGTAATTAAAAATATATTTACATGATTTTGAGCACCAATATTTTTTTTTGTTTTTTTTAAGAAAATAGAAAAAAATCCATTCAAAAATGTAAATAATGTCACGCGCTTGAGAAGACACGGGGGTATATGGGACAAAATATTTCTCGAAAAGAATACAATCGTATCGAATCTCAACTATATATCCAGTGATGCAAAACCTTATGCGTCTTTGTACTTATGAGCGACGCATAAAGGAGAAACAATATAAGGTAATACGCACATCAGCGACAGCAGTGAAGCATGATAATCGCTGGTATACGTATACGGAGCCTTTTGCTTTTATGTATATAATACGTGTGCACACAACATACATACGTATGAGGACGCATAGCATTAGAGAAGCATCGTTCAATTAGCGCGATTGAAAATATAGTGTGCGCCTGCATGTGTTTGTGCAGTGTATATGGGCAACGAGCTAAATCGGTCCTGCCCCGCTCATTCAACATCGTGCGCACGCACGCACTCGCTCACTCGCGCGCGCCCATATCTTTAAACCTATACACGGTCTGCGTCTAGGATCTTCTTTGAACACGTGTGTGTGTGTGTGTGTGTGTGGGTAATGTAACGCTGTGCATCGCACTAATATAAACGTGTTTCCTTTTCAAAACGAGTGAAAATTGAAGAAAGAGATAAAAATTATTGATCGATAAAAAAAAAAGAAAAATCAGAAAATGTATGAATTACGGTTCGATCAGAATTGTTTTTTCCTGTGAAATACAATAATTGTGTACCGATGACGAATCCAACCCGGCGAATGTTTTGGTCGACTTTGTCAATAAAACGCCGATAAGAAACTTAATACCAGGAAGAAGGAGAATTAATCTTTTATCTATTCATCATCGAGTTTCTTACGCTTAATTAATACTAATACTCGGAGCTATTACGTTCGATTGGTTAAAAGCTTTCGTGTTATTTTGTTTTGCTTGCACAATATGCGCAACGTCAAGTATCTTCATAGAAAAATAAATATTCGAGACGATATTAAATGAGTAATTTTGACTTTTAAGAGTCCTGAGATTTTTCTCCGGAACGAGTGAGCCTCGTTATATCCTATATGGAGTAGCATACACGAAGTGCCAAAGGGCGAACGTTTCTTTCGACCATATTATTTGACGTAATTGCTGTTACGAATCTCAGTCGAGTTTCGAGCAATTTTATCGTTGTCTTTTTGTTTTCGAAATCATAAAGTAGCCCCGAAGTTTTTAAGATTGAAACAAAAGAAACGAGAGCGTCTCCGCTACAACTCGCACGCACACACATGCGTGCACAGTCTGGAAATTATTATTTTACGGACTCGTAGATAGTGTAACATAGTTATACGAGTGTTGAAGCGATCCCATTATATATGGATCGCGCGCGAAGCAACGAACGGCCTTTCCACGCACCAGCGCATTTTTCGCATCCAACTCTCCTCTCTCGCTGCCTATAGTTGTCTGTGGGTTTTTGTTACGCGCGCCGCCCGCGCGCGCTCTATACTCTCCGGATATCCGTAACGATCTTGTCACTGGCTTGCAGTGATTGTAATGATGGTAACGGGCCGATTGTCGCGGCGCTGATGCATGTAAACGCGTCGACGATCGAACGGATCTCGATATACGTAAAAGAGGATAAAAAGCTCGTCGGCGCGGTAGGTAGTATAGTATAACTCTCGAGGCTGCACGATGCGAAAATGCGCGCGCGAGGAACCGCATGCTCATGCTGCACGCGTTTTGTGCCGCGCGACGCGACGCAACGTCCCTGAGCTTGATATACAAACGCACACATATGCTCGATTCTCGCTCTCCCCCTCGCGCGAGCCCATGTGTGCAGTGTGAATGTATGCGTGTGTTTGCGAGCCTCACATTTTTATTGCCGAATGAGTAATCTTGCGTATACTCCACTATATGGAGTTTCGTTAACGGACTGAAACGAGCAAGGATTTTTATACGCGTATTCCGCTGCGGTACAAACCGCGCGCGGCATTGACTCGACGATCGAGCAATAATTTCCATCTTACTTTTATAACTACGATGATGAAAAAGCGAAGAGCTTTTTCATTGGGATGAGCGCTCGATCGAAGCTCGTACATAACACAACCGAACAGATGTAACGATTGTTGTCGACTTTGACAGAAGTCAAAACTTCTTTTGCTATTTCGCTCGATTGGCTTTGTTGCATAAATTTAGATTCATAGCGGCCTTTTTCTTGCTATTGAAGTTGGATTTGTGTCTGTGCTAGTAGCATCGTGGAAATGTGTAATAACCACACATACACATACACACCCACACGACGTGCTAATAATGTGTCAGACACGTTTACTTCGATTAGGGACAATCGCGTCATGCAGAGCACTAGTCAGCTTATAGGTCTACACAACGTAAAGAGACTCTTCTCGTTACCTTGGCAGGTATACGCCTTTTATTATTAAATACTTGTGTGATGCACGAGTGAGTTTTTTTTCTGTCGTTACATCTTCATAATATCAGGTGTGTATGACGCACGAGCATAGTTTCGATTTAGAAAGCAAATGTGTATATTGGTCAATCTCTTTCGTAAAACAGAAGAGAGAAAAAATGACGTACGTAAAAAACATGTGGCTGAATACTCTCGTACAGCTGAATATGAATAATGCGCGAATGTGAAACTTGGATTTATTTTACGAAATGCTTCGTCATCACGGACCCACTTGACGCCAGAACAAGCAGCAGAGTTCATAAAAGCGCAAACCAGTCCAGGACTATATAGCTTCCGCGAAATGCATTAGCGGTCAAAGCTCTCTCTCTCTCCTAAAAACTGTATATACGCGAGTACATATAAACACTTGGTTATAATCAGTCATTTTATGTGTATCTGCTTTTGTTTGGGCCGCGCAGAAACAACCCCGTGAAGCGGCAGGTCGAAACGTATCATTTCATGCGTGTATAGAAGATTTTATACAATTCCGAGAAGTAGATACAACCATCGAGGAAAATTAAAATTTATTCCTCGCCCGATATTTTAAATGGCGTATCGTCCTAGACACGAGAGAGAGCGAGAAGTAGAACCTTGAAGCGACTTTACGAGCGGATGTGCCTTTTAAAAAGAGGAGAGCTTTGAAAACTGAGAATACAGAGTTTATAACAAGCTCGTACTTCCATCGAGTGAAAACATCGAGCGAGAACACGCGAGCGATGATTAATTTTTTTTCGAAAACAAAAGTAAAATATAATATATGAGAAAGCATCCGCGCGCGACGTTCGTGCCAAAAGTCACAACATTACGTATGCGCCATATACCCATGTACGCGGTGTTATTGTATTCCGTAAAATAACACACAAGTCATACCCACACTCGACGGCGCTTTTTTCCAAAGCTGAATAAGCCTCTTCTTCTCCTCCCCCTCCTCGATGGAGAGTTTCATAATATTTACACGTAAATTGCGCCTCCTCCGTTCGCCGTTCATTGATCAATCTAGATTATTTCTTTTTAAATTGTAACAACGCCAAAAAATGACGTAAGCTCCGGAGCGCCGAAGCGCTGATACACTCGAAAGAGAAAGAGAGGACGGTTGTATAGGCGCACTTGCGATGGCAATTCGCATCTCTCGTTGCTCGAGACTACTAAGCACACACACCACTGTCTATTCCGGGGCACGGAGTATAGCTGCTGAATTTCGAAAGTTATTACGTATAGGAATGCAAAAAAGCGCACACTTAGCGCGCTGTAGTAGCTGCAGCATCAGCAGTCGTGCACGATGAAATTCATGTTTTCATTTACAAAAGTACCTGTGCTCTCCTGTACGGCCGGATGGGACGTGCGACATCGATCGCTCCAGTTGTATTTTATATACGTTATACAATCGAAAGAGGACGGGCTCCGGTGCTCTCTCAAAATTTGCAAGAGGAAAAAAAAAGATAGCTCGAGAGACGGACCGATATAAGCTCCCGACCTCTCATCGATTCTTTCGCATACAACCCAATAATAATAACAAGCTCTAACGGTATTATTAAGAGGTGCGAGGCCCGTTTTTGAATGTTGGCAAATGCGTGTGATACAGAGGTCTCATTCATGCCGCGCGTTCTGTCCATGCCTTCGCAGAAGAACATAAATCAAGCCGGACTTTCAGCCTTACGCGCTAAACAAGTCGTGTTTGCCGCGCTAATTAGTATTTAATCGCGATCGAGCAGCAGCAGCAGCTCCTCTTCTCTCGTGCTGCAGCACGTATAGAAAGCGAATACATTACTCGCAGTTGGCGCGCATAGAAAAAAGTGGATCGAGCGTAATAATTTATACGCAAAAAATCGCTATCGCGCTGCGTGCCGATTCGTAATGTAGGTATATATGGAAGTCTTCTTGGACGCTCGCTTTAAAGGAAAAAAACATTATAACAGTACGATAGTCGCTTCGATGAAATTTAATAAAAACCGGATCGTACGTTTGGAGTATGAATCAACGGCGCACGAGTTTTTTTTTATAATACGTGCGTTCCAAATTTCAGTCCGAATCCGTACATTTATCGAGATCGATCGTTAATCTTATCGAAAAAAAAAGAAAGAAATTGCCAATTCTTCGAGGTGTCGCACGATTTTATATCTAAACGAACCGCATCTATACGGAACAAGAATCGCAAAATTTCACGCCAAACGCGCCTCTCCTTCGGTTTCTTTATTTTGCAAACTTCTGACTGCGCCTTATCGCTTGCTGCCTAATATCGCCGTGTTCGTCGTCGTTGTGCAAGCCAAAAAGCATTTCAACGTTGTGCACGCAAAACACGCGGAGCCGTGTGTATTTTATAAACGCCGCGCGCGCATCGATCGAGTAGGTACGCGCGACGAAAGGCGTCGTCGTCGTCGTAGTCGTCGTCGTCGTCAGGCAAACTCTTCGTGTAACAAATGTGTGCAAAGAACGAAAGCCTTACGCACATTTCCCCACTCGCTTCTCTTAAACTCTTGGTTCGTT